GTGTGTGTGTGTGTGTGTGTGTGTGTGTGATGCTAGGGATCAAACTCAGGGCTTTATGCATGCTTGGCAAGTTCTTTACCACTGAAATACATGCCCAGTCCCGTTTTAGATTTTATGTTTTGGTCTATGATCCATCTTGATTTAATTTTGCATATGGAATAAGGTAAGAATAAAGGATCATGTTTCCCTATATGTTCATCTGGTTGTTCCAACACTATTTGGCTATACTCATATATATTTAAAAATAAAGTGTCACTTACCTTGCCTATATTTTGATTGCATTCAATGCTATACACCCATATTCAAATAAATTACTAAATTTGTTAGGTATGTTAACTTTTTCAGTATAATTTTTCATTTCCATTGTAATCCCTTTTACCTTATGCCCTTTGGATTAGTATTTTGAAGATGGGTCTATAGCAAGATTACCAGAGACATCCTTGCCATTAAATAGGTGTTAAGAATTTTGGGGTGAGATGCAAAGACATTCAGCTTTAGAACCACGGAGACCTGTGTTAAACGGTTGCTTGTTTCCTATTTCCTAGCTCTATGACCTTGGGTACATCATTCATTTTCCAAACTCACATTCAATAAATGTCTATTACACAAGCCACTGTGTTAACCCTTGAGGATTTATTATAGAAGGACATAACCTTTCCCGTGCAGTTTACAACAGAGTGGGAAAGGCAGAGGAGTCAACACTCTATTATATAACACCGTGATAAGTGCTTTGATGATGGAAGACAGAGAGCTATGGAAGCTGAGAGGTGGTGCTCTTGAACTAGACTTGGGTCAGGAAAGGTTTCCAGAAATTAGGACACTAAGCTGAAACCTGAGGGATAAGTGGACATTAGCCTGGTGATGAGGGGAAAAGTAATGATCCAGACAGGGAAATGGACTCATAAGAAACATGACCTATTGAGACACTGAGAAAAGATCAGGATGGGACCAGGATGGAATAAAAAGACCAGAAGTACAAGGTACAACTAACTGCAGACCCTTCTATTAAACCAGAGGTTCTTATAGGCCGTCTTCAGATTATCAGCTTCATCTTAATAGCAGTGGGGAGTCGTTGATAAGATTTAATCACTGTCATATATATATGTGTATGTATATGCATGTGTGTACAACTTTAGTTTTGTGGAGATTGCATTAGGAGGATCACAACTGGCATCAGACATGATGAATTGGAATTTACTGTAAAAATTCTGCTGAGAGTGAACACATGAATTGTGGTGATAGAGGAGAGGGCAGATAAATGTGGGAGACAATTAGGAGATAAACTCAATTAAATGTATTGTAGGCTCTAGGGAATGAGCAAGAGGGAGACTTCCTCAGATTTGTGGTTGAATGAACAGGATCGTAATGCCATTCACTGAGGGAAAAAAAGCGGACATATGGGAAAAGAACATACGGTGAAATTTGAATTTACAAGATTTAGGATGACTGAGGTGACTGAGAATGTCCAACAAACTTTGGGTTACGTTAGTCTAAATGTAGGAAAAGTGGTTTTGGGATGAGAGCCATCTGTGTCCACATAGTAAGATGCTATAGGCAGCATTCCTTCACTCCTCCTCCACCCCCACTTCGGTGCTGGGGATCAGACCAGGGCCTCATGAATGCTGCTGGGGATCAGACCAGGGCCTCATGAATGCTACGCAAGTACCCAAGTGGCCTACACCCCAGCCCACTGCCCTTCCTTCAACATCTGTTGAATGTGTCTCATACTCTGTTGGGGACACAGCAGAGAACAGGAACACTGGGTTCTTGCCCTCAACCACTCTACAGCCTTCTGACTTTGCTCTTAATCTGTGAAGATGATAATGAGATTAGGAGAGATTAAGAAACGTGCAGTCCCCTGGACACTCTAATTCACGCTTTGGTTTCTCTCCTGGCCCTCCCCGGGCTGTTCTCCTGCGCAGGCGCCCTGTACCCAGGCTGGGGGCGGGGCGGGGCGGGCCAGAACCCGAGCGGCCTTTCGCAAGGCCAAGAAGGGGCCTGTTGGGGGGCGGGGCCGGTTGTCCCGTGACGTCATTAAGCTGCGCGGCTCGCAGGGCGGGACCCGAGCGCGACCGCGCGGCCGGCGGACCTGGGCTGGCTTGTGGGGAAACGAAACTGAGGGAGGAGGTGGAGGCTCTGGCTGTGGCAGGTCCAGGCCCGGCGGCGGCGGCGATACGTCGGCCTGATCCCCGCTCTCCGCTCCCTGGCAGCTCGCCCTCTCCCCTCTGCGTGAGTGCGGACGCGCGGCCCGGGGGGAGCGAGCGGGCGGGCGCGCGGGCTCAGCATCCTTCTCCCTCCACTGCCGCCTCGGCCCCCACCCGCGGTTGTGACTCTCAGCCTTCTGGCCGCTTCTCTCTCCTCCCCCTTCCCCTCCTCCCCAGCAACCTCCTGGAGCCCGAGCTGCCACTGACACAAGTCTCTGCGCACATATTTACACACTCAACGTTATCTTCAAATGGAAGGACTGGCCTGGGGAGACGGGAGCTCAGCTCTTCCTCTGTGAATAGGGGTGGCAGTGCGAGACCGAGGCCCAGGGAGACAAGACCACAGGGGGGATTTGAAGCCCTTCGGTGGGGGAGGCTGCAGGTAGAAGCAAGTCTCTTGCATCCAGTTGGAAGTTCCTGACCAGAGCACATTTTTCAAGTGTAGATCATTTGAACTGGGCACTGGTTAGATATGTAGCCTTCTCCTTTTGGGCCTCAGTCTTTAACAGTGGAAAACGAAAGGGTTGGATTAGGTGACTTGGAAGGCCCAAATCTAAGGTGATGTGATTTGAGGAGTACCATCAGCCTCTGCCACCTTTCACACAGTTTCCTCTCTTTCCTGCACCTACCCCAACACAGCACACCCAGTTTCCCGTGCTTCCCAGTCTTTTTGCCTTTGCTGCAGCTAGTAGCAGGCCCTGTGATGGGCTTTCCTGTAGCTCACCTTGTGGGCCTTTGTAGAAGGCTGAAAGAGTGGTTTAAAATGAAACGTGTCACAGCCTGGGCTTGCTTTCTGTTTGTTCAGGCTGCTGTTCTTGTCTTTGCCAGATAAAAGGCTGCCTCCTTAGGAAAGATGTGATTATGCATTGGGTTGATTGGCTTATCCTTGAGCTGAAGAGAAGGGAAACATATTATCCAGGGTTTAGTGAGGTTGCTGGGTTCAGTGGCATTTGTGGCATTTCATTGCTTTCTTGCTGTGGTCACTGTGACCCATGCTGTAAGTCCAGTCTTGTACCCTTGCAGCTTCCCTTTCCCAAAGATTGCAGTCCCACTGGTCATCTACCTGGTTTGTTTCTGTTTTGAGTTCTTTCTCATTTCCAAGTTCAACCAGTTAATTGTTTGTAACTCAGACTGTATTCACTACTTTTCCTTAAGATATCGGGGTTTCACAAGCACTTCATTCAATCCCATTTTCCCCCTCATGCTTACCTCTCATGTACCCATGGGCATGGAAGATGGTGACATGGAGCTTGCTTCTTTCCATACTCTTTTTTTTTGTGTGTGTGTGTGTGGAGATGGGTTCCTATTTTTAAAGTTACAATTTTTGTATCTCACTCCAATGATATAGCTACCTCCAGTCTCATTATCTTTCCCACTCTTGTGTTTCCTCCATTGTAAGACAATCATTGCTCCCACTCCTTACTTTGGTTAAAATTTTTCCTAGTTTTTTCTGGGCACGTTGGCGCACGCTTGTAATCCCAGCAGCTTGGGAGGCTGAGACAGGAGGATCAAGAGTTTGAAGACAGCCTCAGCAACAGTGAGGCACCAAGCAACTCAAGTGAAACCTTGTCTCTAAATAAAATACAAAATAGGGCTGGGGATTGGCTTAGTGGTTGAGTGCCTCTGAGTTCAATCCCTGGTACCAAATAAATAAATAAATAATAAAAAAATTTCCTAGTTCTTTCATTTTTTTAAATATTATGAAATAAACCAAAACCCAGTATTTGTATCATGCTATATAATCATAATTATTTTGGTGAAATAATAATTATTATGAAATAATCATTCTGGGATGGTCCCTTCATCTTGGAATTTTGGTTGATATTTAGTTATAATTAATTTCCAGTGTACATAGCCAATGTTGTATCAGAAATATAGAATAACAGTTGCCCAAGGCCTTTTTCCCCTATGTCTTATGGAGTTTATTCATATCTTTTTGGTATCTGACACCAGTGGTCCAGAGACCTATGCATCTGTGAGCACCACATTTTTCAGTAAAACTAATAGCTTTTATTGAAAACCAGAGCTTGGCTAGCATCCTTCCTAGACTGCATTCTGAGGAAGAAGCTATTCAAGTGCTGGCACTGAAGGATATTTGAAGTTGCCAAATCTCATCTCATTGATGATTTATACTTTGGAATCCTTGCTCTTATCCCACTGGCTCTAACCCAAGGGCAGCTGACTGTCTGTATTTATGGTTGCAGTAACAATGAAGAGAACTCTCCCAGAATGCAATGCCCCCATCAAGAAACAGAAAAAAAGAGTTGCAGAGCTTGCCCTGAACCTCAGCTCTACATCAGACGATGAACCTCCCTCCTCTGTCAATCATGCAGCAAAAGGTATGCTTGCCTGTATGGTCTGAGGCCACTGGCCATCTGGTTATTTGAATCTTTGGTGCTTGAATTCAGCAGAATATAGTCCAACATCCTTTGGGGAAAAATAAGCAAATTCTACAGAAAGATGTTGGCCATGGAGTCTTTTCCATTCTGCCGTTCTTCTACTAAAAAAAGTTAAACTTGTTTTAAATTAAAAATTGGATTTTTTTCCCCAGAAGTTCCTTAGTTTTGATGCTGGTCTTTCAGTAGGTGGCACTCTTTTGCTACTTTAAACCAGTTAGAAGTGGTGAGCAGATCCTGGGGTTCTTGTAGAGGAGGAGGGCTCTTTGGTGCAGTCGTTCTGGTCTAATTCTCTGGCTTTTGCACATAGTTCTCAATTCCTTCAGCAGTTGCAGGCAGAGGCACCCAGTGATAGTGGAACATCAGCGTATTTGACATTAAGCTCAAAGGATTTCACAGGTCTGGTTGAAATTATAATTTTTTTTTTTTTGCCTGCTTTTAAGGGTTATAGACATTAACAGTTTCCACAGATGCTGTCTGAGAAATTATAAAGTGTCTAGGAGTTTGCTTCAAATACCAGGCAATTAGAAGCAGCTAATTCACATTAATTTTGACTTGCCAGCTGTATTTGTTTTTTAAGACTGCTGTGACAAAGCATCACACACTAGGGTTGCTTAAAGAAACAAATTTATTTTCCCACATTTCTGGAAACTAGACATCAAATCAAACTAGGTGTCAACAGGGCCACAAGATCCCTTGGAAGGGTCTTGGGAAGACTCTTTTTCCATCTTGTTTTTGATGGTTGTTGGCAACCCTTGGTGTTTCTTAGCTTGGGTGGCAGCTTAATTCCAGTCTCTTCCTTGACTTTCCTTCTGTATCTGTGTACAAATTTCCCTCCTCCTCTTTCCTTTTTTTTTTTTTTTTTAAAGGTACTAGGGATTGAACTCAAGGACACTCTTATCACTGAGCTATCTCCCCAACCCTTTTTTATTTTTTTGACACAGGGTGTAAGTTGCTGAGTCTGGCCTCAAACTTTGACATAAAGCTCAAAGGATTTCACAGGTCTGGTTGAAATTATCATTTTCCTTTGCCTGCTTTTCAGGGTTGTAGACATTAACAGTGTCCACAGATGCTTTCTGAGAAATCATAAAGTGTCTAGGAATTTGCTTCAAATACCAGGTGTCCTGCCTTAGTCTCCTGGGTAGATGGGAATATAGGTGTATGCTGTGCAGGCAAATTTCCTTCTTCTTCTTCTTCTCCTTCTCCTTTTCCTCCTCCTCCTCCTCCTCCTTCTTCTTCTTCTTTTTTTTTTTTAATTTCCCTCTTCTTGTAAATCAGTTATTGGATTAGGACCCACCCTCATCTAGAATTATTTCATCTTATTGCATCTGCAGAGGCCCTGTTTCCAAATAAGTCACATTCACAGGCTCCAGGTGACACAAATTTGGGGAAGGATACTCTGTTCAACCCAGTACACCAGCAGGCTTGCGTTTTTTTTATCCCTTGTTGGATCACTGACAAACTGGAATGAAACTTGGTAACAGACTGGTGACTGAGAGGGTGGGAAATAGTTTATTCACGAGTGGTAAGCTCATTGAAGGGCAGTTACTTATCAGCTGTTACTGGGGAGCTAGTTCAGAGAAAGGCTTGACAAGTGGTACTGCTCATGGAACATTTGGTGCAGCTATGGTCCAGGTTGGATAAGAGACTCTTACAGGCCTTGAGTGTGGAGGTTCGTGCCTGTCCGAGGTTTTATTCACAGTGGAGCTGGATATTGTAGTGCATGTCTGTAGTCCTGACTACTTTCAGAGGCTGAGGCAGAAGGATCACTTGAGCTTGTGATCTCAAAACCTATTTTAAAAAAAGAGGTAATGGTGGATTCCAAGCTGGGTGAGAAAATCTGTATGTAATTGGGGCTCCTAAGTGGGAAGACAAAAGCATATTGAGGACATTATTTTTAGGAACTATTAAGGAAAGGGGATTTTGCTTCCTATCTGGGATTTGAGCAGTTTGGTGAAGGTAGGGCTCTGTGGAATTGGGATAGAGCCCACAAGGGAAAAAGGGATAGCATGTCTGGGGAATAAATGATATTCAGGTAGTGTAGGTGTCTAGTTCTAAGTGACTCTTGGGAGACATTTGCTCTCAAGTAACATACTTGAAGTAAGGAAAGAATTTTCAGGTAAAGTAAGGTGAGTATGTAATGTTAAAAATCCTTTAAGGCAACTTGTCTACCAGTCTGATTTAAATTTTAAGCCTGTAAGAAATGTGACTGTGAATTAAGAACTGCCCCCCCCCCCCCCCGCGCCCTGGCCCCACCGTACACATACATATTCCCTTTAATTTTATCAAATAGCTTTAACCTTTTCTGGAATTGGCATCATGTGACTCAGTCAGGATTGCCTATTGCTTTTATGTGTTCAGAATGGAAATTCAGAGGTGGCCAGTTCATTGTATGTATCTGACCAAAGGCCACTTGGTCTTTTTCATTTGCAGAAAGTGAGACAGGAGACAGAGGCAGATTTCCCCAGGTTAACTTTCATTAAGTAAGAGGAGCGCCACGTTGACACAAAAACTTAGGACTAGGAAGGGAGGGGAAAAGGGAGGTACTGGAGAATGAATTTAATCAAGTTATTGTATGTAAGAATCTGTCACAAAGAATCCCATATTCTGCACCAATAAGGTGTGTGTGTGTGTGTGTGTGTGTGTGTGTGTGTGTGTGTGTTTAGCACTAGAGTTAGCAAAATTGATGTCTCTATGCCCTTCTCTGCCATGCCTGGCCTAAAGTGAATGCTAAGTAAATATTTACTGAATATAATTGATAAAAGGTAAAAAGAGTGGTTATTTTAAGCTTTTTCAAGAAGCTTTAAATTCTTCACATCTTTGATTTTGCCTATCTCTCCTCTAGTTTGCAGATCATTTCTCCAAGCGCTTTGCATTTATGTCATCTGTGTTCTATATCAGCTTCTTCTAGGAGTCCTTGGGGAGTGTGCTGTCTCACCAGAAATTACCTATATGCTGAGATGCAGGTGTGGCTTTTCTATTCAAGTCATTGATTAAAGCAGGGGCATTTCCGTTTTCTCCATCCAATTCTGCCTGCACACACTATTCAAATAGATGATCAAAAAATGTTCCTTAGGGAGGACAATTAGAAATACAAAAAACTAGTATTTACTATTTCTGTCCATCTGGGCCTTGTTTTTTCTTCCTTTGCTAGATCAATGTGATCATTAATCATTAATGATGAGTAGGTCTATTAGTTTAATCAGTATGTTTGTTTTTCATTATTCACAAGTTAGTTGTGTTACCAACTCAGGAACTTGACATTTGGCTAGTGTAAAGAAAAAGGTTGATGTTGTCATGGGCACGGTGGCATAGAGTTCTTTTGAGTATTCTAAGAGGAGTTTGAAGGCATTTTCAAGTGTAAATAAATTGGAAATTTGCAGTCAAATAACCTTTGAAGTAAGGGGAGGCCAATGAGGCCATTGTGTTCTTTTTGTTTGTTTCTCACAAACTGGAGAAACTGTGGTCTTGAGCCCAAGAAAATTTCCTTCTGTACTTAGCTGTGCATCTAGTGTGGGCTCCTAGTTCTTTTTTTTTTTTTTTTTTTTCAAAAAAAATAATTTTGGAGACAGCATCTCACTAAGTTGCTGAAGGTCTTGGTAAGTTGTTGAGGCTGGCTTTGAACTTGCAATCCTCCTGCCTCAGCCTCCCAAGCTGCTGGGCTCCCAGCAGGCTCCTGGTTCTCTTGCAGCAAGTTCTTATGGAAGTTGCAAGTCTCCTTCACCAACACCACATTAAAAGTACCTTCCCCTCTGCCAGGTTTAATTCTTTCCTAAATAGGCTGTTTGCCCTGAGACACCATCGCTTTCCTGTCAGACCAGATTCATGACCTTAATCAAAAACTTCCTTTATCGGTATCTGTTTAAATTGCTCTAACGAGTTACCATTTATTTGGAATGAAGGAGAAATTGAGTCTTTAAACAAGAATGACTGTATTCTTCAGCAATTGTTAGGCAGGGTGTTTATTAAAATTCATAATTTATTCTTCTATATCTGTATGCTGCTCACCTTAGCCACTAGTGCTTGGAGCTATGTTGTCATTTTTAATCGTGGCATGTTTGCCCTACTCCTCTATCACCATGTGAACAATTGTGCCAACAGCTGGGAAACCTCTGGTTCTTCTGTAAAGTGAACATTTCTTCTCTAAAATGACTTAATAATGATTTCTGTCAGGTAGAGAGGAAATCTTAAATGAAAACACTAAATAATGTTTTGGGCTCTGGTAGGTTTTAGAAAGGGAACTCCTGGGGAGGTAAATGGAAATGTCACCCAGCTTTGGCAAGTTCTTAATGAAACTAATGATTTTAATAGACTGACCTTATTATTCCTTTTAATTTATGTCCTCATTACAAAATTGTCAGCTCAGTGCTGCTAAATTCTTTCCAATCTTGGGAAGGCAAACCTCTTGAATTCCTACTGAAGCTATGACAGTTGTTTCCTTTTCATTTGAAGAGAGTGGTCCCAAAAGCCCAGGGGTAAAAATAAATAGTGACTGTGGCAGTCTGTGGACATTAGGGCTAATCTACAGACTTTCTCTTAAATCATGTCAACCTACTAACTGGATTTGTTGTTGTCACTTGTTTTGGTTTGCGGTACTGTAGATTGAACCCAGGGCCAATGTAGGTATACACTCACCCACTGAGCTACATCCCCAGCCATAAATGCTGGTTTTTATATGTCACGTGATTAAAAGAGAAATAAGGTTTATTTTCTTTTCTAGCACACTTCTTGATCTCACAGGGAATTACCTAGTAGGGGATGTTTTAGTTGTCTTCATCCTCACTCTGAGAACCTGGAAAGGACAGTGTACAATAACTAGCACCTTGGGAGGGGGAATGGTGTAGAAAGATCTTGTGCCAGAGTATGATGCTGGAATTTTCCAACCAGAGTCACCACTGATTTGCCTAGTGAGCCTTTCATTCAAATTTGGTTCTGTTTTTTTTTTTTTGCTCAAAGATTTATGAAGATAAAAGAAAATGAGATCTCTTTCAGAGATTCAAAAGTGGCAGAAATCTTGTGTACCCAGGGATGGAATTAAAACCATTCCATTGTTCATTGTTGGCTCCTCAAGCAAATTTTAACAGCCTGGTGACTTCCTTGAGCTAGACCAAGGCATGCTCTCCATAGAGAAGGATACCAAGTTTTTCAGCCTTTTCATAGTTAGGTGTATGAATGTCTACATAGTTGGTGAAACCATAAGAACTGATTTAACATTGTAGCTTCTGATGAGTCAGGACCTTGGATCCCTGGGCTGCCCCAAAGCAACTTCAGGGCTGTACTCAGGGAGCTGTCCACATTGCTGGTACCATCTCTTTCTGTACTAAGCAGTGCAGGTTGAAGCCACAGAAGCAACTGAGAGAATTGAATCTGAACCTTTGGAAGCACAGTTCTTTAGCATGTGGGCACATTTTGCAGACTGCATCTCTCTCCTTACATGGGAGATAATGGATGATTGGCATGGGGATAGTCTTGAGCCCCTGATAGTCTCTGACTTGAGCCTCCCCACCCCCACCCCACGGTGAAGATTTCTCTGGAGGGAAACTAATCTTTTCCTATAACTTGGAATAGTAATTCTTTGTAGGTTTATTTTTTCCCCTAATTTTTAAACTAACATATATATATTTAATATTTATATTTTTCGTTGTAACTGGACACAATATCTTTATTTTATTTATTTTTATGTGGTGCTGAGGATCAAACCCAGGGCCTCCCATGTGCTAGGCGAGCACTCCACCACTGAGCCACAATCCTAGCCCCAAACTAACATATTCTTGTTTCTCACAAATGCAGAAAAGTGCAAAACAGAAAATAAAAATCACCTCACCTCTCAGTTTCCATGGTTACTCATTGTTAATTTTCTGGGTCTTTCCTTCTGAGTGGCACTCTCTGACATATGTTACATTGGTCCATGTAAGCAAGACAGCTCCTTATTAAGAGAATTGGATCTAACTTAACAGGAAGGGGCAGATTTTGTGCCTCTTACATAGGAACATTCTTAACCAAAATTCCAACTTGCTAACTGATTAGAAGCCAGAAGTTTGGTTTTGGATTTATTCTGATTCCCTTTCCCACATTCACCTGCCTTTTCTTTCTTTTGCAAAATGTTTTTTTTTTTTTTTTTTTTTGGTGGGAAGTACTGGGGATTAAACCCAGGGGTGCTTAATCACCGGGCTTCATCTCTAGACCATAAAATGTTGTATTCTTTAACAAAATGCATATTTATATTAGCTATTTGATTTTTTAGGTTGTCTGATAGTTGTTACTTTTGCATAATACTCTGTTGTGTATAGCACGGACATTTTATAGAATAAGTCTTAAACCAAAGTAATTGTTGGTGTATTAAACAGTATCAGTATTCTGAGCTCTGACATATATTTCAGCCTTCTGGGACCTAAATCATTGCTCAAGAAGGGCTCCGTTTGCTGGTAGGATATAGATCCTCCATCCTCATTCTTAAGCTTTTGAAGCCTGAACATTTGCACTACTTGTACAATGTACAATAAAATATCTTAAGGAATCGTACACTCTGTAGGTCCTCAGGAAGGGTGACACCTGGCTGATAAACCTTTAAATCCACTGTGATAGACTTCTTATTAATTTCTATCAAATGAAAAGCCTCAGTCCAGATGTTGGGGTTATAAAGTTGATTTTGACAAAATTCCTGCTCTCTAGGAGTGACCCTGTTCAGTGGGGGTGGCATGTGGCAAATGATAACTGTCTCTAAGGCAACATGTTGAGTGCTTTGATGATGGTGGGAGTATCAGTGTCACTGGGGCATAGTAGAAGGGAAAATCATTTAAGCTTAGGGCCCTGGGAAAGGCTTGTCATCCCTCAGCAAGTTTGTGTTCTAGCTGGGAAATAAATGGATCAGTACAAGTAGGCTTTAGAATCATGAAGTAATGATCAGGTGAGGAATTCCTGAATAGTGACTATTTCAGTTCTATACAGAATTGTTTTAACCAATAAAAAAAAAAAATGGTTTTACATGGCTTCTCTCCACACCATCCCTCAGAATCTTCCATAAGCAGCCAAGCTTTGAATCAGAATCTTTTCTCAGCAACTTCTCCCTTCTCCCTCAAAGGAATTGTGCCTCATTGCTCAGTTTTTTCATATTAATTTTAAATTTTAATAGGTAATATATTCACATGGTTCATAATTCAAAAATATAAAAAGATACCCAGTATAAACTCTTGGTAATATGATTGTAAATCAAATTTATTTTCTTTGCTTTCACTTGTTCTAAGTAATAATTTTTTTTATTCTGTCTCCATGCCCTAACCCCTGCATGTGTGCATAATCACACTTTTATTGGTATTGTATCTCTTTCCTTCCAAAGCTCAATTATAATACAATTACAAGAAATATAAATATATAGTTGTATTTTCCCTCTGTATTACACAAAAGTTCAGGAGGCCGTGCTTGTGCATGTGGCTTTGCTCTTCTGTTATTTTTATAGCAGTGTGTTGGTGATTTGTTTCCATGCATCAGCAGGTGTTCTCAGGCTTTCTTGTTTCTTGGCACTCTTAGTGTTGCACTTTTGTTTTTACCATGTCCCAAGGTCAAAATAAATACCTATGAGGCATGGTGGCAAATGCCTGAAATCCTAGCAGCTCTGGAGGCTGAGGCAGGAGGATTGTGAGCTTAAGGCCAACCTCAGGAACCTAACAAGGCACTTAGTAACTCAGGGAGACTCTTCCTCTAAATAAAATATGAAAAAGGACTGGGGATGTGGTTCAGTGGTTAAATGCCCTGGATTCAATCTCTGGTACAAAAACAAAAACAAAAACAAAAAAACAGCCTAACAATTCAGGTTATTAAGTATTTATTGAACTCTAAGTAACAAGCTTTTATCTTATTTTATATTTTGTTACTTGGGGATTGAACCCCAGGGTGTGCTACCGCTGAGCTACATCCCAAACCCTTTTTATTTTTCATTTTGAGCCAGGATCTCCTTAGGTTGCTTAGGGCCTCAACTAAGTTGCTGAGGATGGCCTCAAATTTGTGATGCTCCTGCCTCAGCCTCTGGAGTTGATAGAATTCCAGGCATGTGGCACCAAGCTTGGCTAGTAAAAAGACTTTATATCCTAACAACAATAAAAACACTTGAAAAATATTTTCATTTTATCTTTAAATAACCACAATTACTTATTAATGAGATATAGGCATTGTACGACTTCTTTACCCCTGGATTCTGGTTGAATGTCACCACTTTCATTTCCTGTTTGGCGTTATCCCCTGGTTTGCAATTTATATCATTTTCAGTGGGGGGTTATATAGAAATTGTTGACCAAACTTTTAAGAAATAGTCTATTTCCAAATTCAGGCAGATTTGAGAGACTCCTTGAATAAAATTACATTGGGTTAATAGATTCATAGGTCTGCATAAGGGAAGGAAAGAGATAGTGGAGTTATTGTCCATATGGAGGTAGCTCAGCACTTCTTGTAGCTGCAAAGGTGCTCCTTCCTTGAAGTTCTTTAACAAAGTTGTTGATGGTGAAGATGATGGTTTGGCTCCCTCAGGCTGCTGGCTCCCTCCTGGAGCTGTGCCTCTGCTACTCTCTACCTAAGTTGGTGGTTCCACCAGAGCTTCTTTTCCTGTTTTTCTTTCCTTTCTCTTTTTCCTTCCTTCTTTCCTCTTTTTCCCCTCACTTGTTGCTTCTGTTCTGGTTCTTTCCCAATTTCTCTCCCTGTGAGCCAGCTTTTCTCCAGAGCTGCAGTGTGGGCACCCCCTTTTTTATATATATATATCTCATGTATATGTATGTATGTGTGTATGTATGTATTATCTGTAGGCAGACACAATACCTTTATTTTATTTATTTATTTTTGTGTGGTGCTGAGGATGGAACCCAGTGCCTTATATGTGCTAGGTAAGCATTCTGCCACTAAGTAACAACCGCAGCCCGTGAACCCTCTCTCCTACCAATAAGTTTGAAGGACTGTGCAAGCAAGGAGAACTAGCTAGAAGATTAAACAATTAGAAACTGGTAGTCTGCTGATGGAATCTTTGGAAATGGAACCAGGCATCAGTCTTTGTAGAAATTGATGTTTAAATAAACAGTAGCAGTAGAAATAAAGTATCTTCAGTCAATATACTTTGTATTTGACAGTATGCTTTCACTTTTTGTTTTTTGTTTTTTCATTTAATCTTTAAACAACCAGTGAGTTAGATGTTACCATCCCAGGTTTTTAGTGGGGGAAATTTAAAGGGTGGGGAACTATTATTTTTGAGCTCCCATTATGTCAAGTACCCTAGAAACTTTCAGTGACATTCCCATGATTATAGAACTAGTGAGAGGTAGAAAACACATTGTCATTAAATGAACCTCCTGTATTCAGTGCATGTATGGAATACTTCTTGAATGAATGAAGTTTTGACTTGTAGAGGCTATTTTGTGACATAAACTTACCTCAAAATTTCTCTTTTTCTTTTCCAGCATCTTCTACAAGCCTAAGTGAGTCTGACAGTGAGACAGAGGGGAAGCCGCGTAGCTCTCACTGTTTTGATGATGCATTCAAAGCAGACTCTCTGGTGGAGGGAACATCTTCTCGTTACTCCATGTATAACAGTGTCTCCCAAAAGCTTATGGTATGTCACTGCTTGGGTTGAATTTCTAAAGCTGCCCCAACAGAATGAGAGAAGGGCAGTTTGTATTTGTATGACAAAAAGAAAAGCTAGGGCATGGATTTTTTTCCTCTCTTTTTCAGCCACTGAAATTTGACAGAGTGTGGCCTCCTTTTCTGTAGAAGTATCTGTCACATTGGAATAATCTATGGAAAGTGACTGCATAGGCCTATTTCCTCCTGTTCTATCCAGACTGGTTTACCTTTTGGTATCCTTACTAATGAATTCTTACAATAAGCATGTGTGAATATACTTGCCTAAAAATGATGTGTGTCAGTAGATAAAGACTTCATGCTAGGAATTTTTGTTCTATCGAGTAATCTCAGAAGAAATGACTAAACTCTTTTTTAGTCCCAAAATAAATGGGAGTAGTATGGTGTTTTTTTTCCAAAGAAGGCTCAATTCCTTTTCCCAATTTTTATACCCATTGATATATCACAAGAAGAAAGGTGAATAGGGAGAGTGCTTACTTTCCTCACCAAAATTTAATATATATATGTTCAAAGGTTATAGAGTTCAAGTTTCCCACCTGACTAACTTCAGGAATATCATAGTTGTCTCCTCTATTTCCTTTTGGATTCCCTTAAGAATGAGAAATGCCCCTGCTGAAGTCATAGGTCAGGATATTCGTTTGGGGGCCTTAAGCTTTCGGGGAGGGAAGATTAGGGAGACTTGTGACAACCAGCTCTCTGAGGGGCGGGGGCAGGGAAGATTTGTGTCTACTGTAGGGATTCCATCCAGGTCTTGAGCAGGTGCTTTCATCAAGAATATAGATCTCCAGGGGGAATTTCTCTGGACCAGAGTTCTTTTATCAGGTAAGGGATTTGAGATTTGGGTTTTTTATCTTTGCATGTATTCCTAGACCCAGGAACTGTAGAGTATAGGGTAAACTTATAGACAGTTGTGACATTTGAAAAAGCATTTCTGTCCCAGGACCTTCCATACCAGAATTTCACCTGAAGTGAGTTTAATCTCTTGATTAAATGGGCTCCTACAAGAGCTCATTATTCTTGCAGAGTAAGACTGTTTGACTGGCTAAGGGTCAGGCAGAAGTTACTGCTCAGAGCTGTCCCATTTTAAATTATGTTCTCTTTATCAACTCTACTCTGGATCTTTTCACTTAATCAGACAAATTAGCTGGAAGGGTAAGTTGTGCAAATGTCCAGTGAGATTCATTATGTACTCTTAGTGCTTTTAATTATGGCTATGTGGTCCCTTCTCATTTATCCAACTTCTAGTTGCCACAGACCTTTACCTTCAGAATAGACAGTCACTGGACCCATGGTTACTGCAGTTATTTATTTATGTTTCTTTTCTTCATTAGGCTAGAAGGCAGAATTTAGGCCTTAATCATCTCTGTTTCTCAGGGCTTAACACAGTGTCTGGCATATGATAGGGGCTAAATAAATGTCTGTTGTATTGAATTGATTGTGCTCTCTTTTCTTTTTCAGGCCAAAATGGGCTTCAAGGAAGGTGAAGGATTGGGAAAATACAGCCAAGGTCGGAAGGACATTGTTGAGGCTTCTAATCAGAAAGGTCGAAGAGGCTTGGGTCTGACCCTGAGGGGCTTTGATCAGGAGCTGAATGTGGACTGGCGAGACGAACCAGAGGTAACTAGTGAGGGAAGGAGGAAACCTTGTGGTTTTGGATGTGTGGCTTTGTGAGACCATATTAACAAACAGAAATCTATAGTGGCAGTGTAAGCAGGGTGGTTAGAGGGGGTTAGTTTCTTACATGGGAGGGACTGGGGATGTCCAGAATGGAAAGTAGAAGACTGGGCAAGAATATTGATTTGTGTCTCGTTGCTTTCTAGGACTTCTAAGACCAGTAGGTAAAAGATGCTGGAAGGCAGAGTTTGGCTTCATAAAAACCTTTAGTGAATAGGTACAGCTCACCACTAATGGAATAAGAAAGGCTGTGGACACCTTCTGTTGAAGGGATTCAAGTGGGCCAAATGAGCCCGTACTGTTCATTGTGTGACTGACTGGGATTAAGTGTCCTCTAAGATCCTTCCATCTCCACAAGTTAACAATTGTTTGTTGGTACCATATTGCTTTTCTACTATGAGCTTAATCTGTTGTCTTAAGTACCAGTTTGTTGTGAGACAAAAAGAGACTCTTATTATCTCTTTTCATGGTACAGATAACGTTGAGATTTTTTTATTTTCACTTATTGATGTCCTATTTTATTACACAAAGGATTTGAAGTAAGTTTAACAAAATTACCTAAAAACATGATGAGATATCACCATTACAGAGATGAGATTAGAGAAAAAAGAATACAAATGTCTAGCATTTCTACATAGTTGGTGTGATTGAGCTTTAGATGGGGCTCTGAACTAGCTGGAAAACTGCTATATCGTTTTGTCTCCCTGATTTTTTTTTTTTTTTTTACATTTTAATTTTTAGTTGTAGTTGGCCATAATACCTTTATTTTATTTATTTACATGTGGTGCTGAGGATTGAACCCAGGGCCCCCACATGTACTAGGCAAGCGCTCTACCACTGAGCCACAACCCCACCCGTCTCTCTGATTTTTGTCTCCAGTTCAGGAAAGGATGTGAACCTGCTCATGATGAAAGCCTAATAAAGCTTCAGAGTGAAATTTTGACAAGCCAGGAACTAATAGGTTCTGGGGTGGTCTTTCTATGTTTCCTTGTAGTTATGATGCTGTGTAGCAGAATAGCAGAGGAGACAGTGCAGAATAGGTGGGAGGCGAGAATTCTACCACTGAATCACCAGTGCCTCCTTGAAAAAGTGCCTTCTTGAAAAAGACTATGATGGGTAGGTTACTAGATAGAGGCTTTTGCATGAAAAATACCTAGTGTTTTCCAAGTTTTTATTTGTGTGTAAACAAGTACACAGTTTTGATCCTTTCAGTGGCACAGAATTTAAGTGAACTTGTTAAACTAGAAATCTGAAATTTGCTTGTAAGATCTCTGTTTTTAATTGAGATAAGCTGTTGAAATTCCTTTTTGGGGTGAGACTTTCCCAGTTCTCATTTGCCATTATTCAATTTTTGTCTTAGAAAACATGCCTGATAAATAAGTCAGAGTTTGGCTCAACCATCAGTTGCTATCCACTTCTTCTTCTTCTTCTTTTTTTTTTTTTAAAGAGAGAGAGAGAGAGAGAATTTTAATATTTATTTTTTAGTTTTCGGCGGACACTACATCTTTGTTTGTATGTGGTGCTGAGGATCGAACCCGAGGCGCACGCATGCCAGGCGAGCGTGCTACCTCTTGAGCCACATCCCCAGCCCGCTATCCACTTCTTTAAGACAGATGAATCTGGGGGGCCTAAGGAAATGTCCAGTCCTGGGATCACTATAAGGAGAATGCTCAGTGGCTACTACAGTCCAGGAGTGTAAACTCAAGGTTTGAGCCATTGGACAAAGTCCACTTTTCAGGTAACCTTAATGTACAGACTTTCATGGAGAGATTTGAGTCTGCATTTGCTTGATAAAGGAGCATCCAAAGTATATATGAGCTTTTTTCCCTAAAGTTTATAATTTAAATTTATGCCTAAAGGTGATGGATTTGACCAGGAGGAGAAACCATGTTACACTGCCAGATTCATGGACAAAAGGTTTCAGTAATTTTTCTTTTCTACTTTTTCTGTTGATGGCAGTTCGCTTGCCCTCAAGACCTTGCATTGTGATACCATTTTATGGCTTTCAGAGCATGTAATATTACCTTTAATCACATTGCTTCAATTTGCAATGGTGAATCTCTTTTCCACACTTGCTTGAGAGGCAATCTGTGAAGCTGCCATGCAGGTTAGCCACCTGGTTAGGTTTTATAATCCATGTTTCTCAAGCCCAATGGTACTTAGTTTTGGATGCACAATAGAATCATCTGGGGACTTTTAAAAACATATATCCAGTCCCCATCTCAGATCAACGGAATCATGTACTCTGAAGCTAGGGCCTGTACATCAGAAATTTTATTGAAAAGCCTTGCAGGAGATCCTAATGTACAGTTAGAGTGAGAACCACTGTCTTTGGCTGTTAGGGAAAGTCATTGAAAATTAAGAGGAAGCAGCCATCAGAGGTGTCAGCTTCTGCTGTATTGGAATCATTGAGAGAGGAATAAATAACCAGTTTCTGGGTAAAATAAGCAGTTTTGGGGTTATTTTGTGAATAACACTGTGAACGCATCAGGAGGTGAGACTCATTGCCACTGTCTTCTTGATGAAATTAACTCCATAAATATGTATGTGTTTGTGTGTATGTGTATGTATAAATAAGTAAAGGCTGAGGCCTTTTCATAAATGTGTGTGTGTGTATGTGTGTGTATGAAGGCTGAGGCAGGAGGATGACAAGTTCGAGAATAGTCTCAGCAATTTAGTGAGATCCTGTCTCAAAAAAAAAAAAAAAAATGGACTATGGATGTGGCCGAGTGGTTAAATGCCCCTGGGTTCAATCCTCAGTACAAAAAAAATGTATCTGTGTCTATATATAACATATGTTACAAATACCTGTTGACTTCTCTGTCCTCACCACTCTAATTTTAAACCCCTTTGGTCAAGGGCCTGTCTTACTTAAGTCTGTATTCTGAGGAATACATAGTAGGTACTCATCAAATAATATTGGAACAAGTTAAAGAAACCTTGAAGATTTGGGAAGTTTCTAGAGATTCAAAACAGAACCAGAGGTGGCCTTCAGAAGTTGAACTTCAAAATTTTGGTTTTCCCTTCTCATGTCTGACCACTGCATTTGGCTTCAGCAACTTGGAGCCTTTTCAGTCTGAGTCCCTCTGGATTGTTTTGGGGAAGTCCTGGAGACTTGGGGTGGAGCCCCAAGGATCTGTCTTACCCGACTTATTTGCTTCTCTTTTGTTCATAGCCCAGTGCCTGTGAGCAGGTGTCATGGTTCCCTGAGTGCACCACTGAAATTCCTGATACTCAAGAAATGAGTGATTGGATGGTTGTGGGAAAGGTAGGATGTCAATAAAATGTACCCTAATATTTAGCCTCTCCTAACTTTTCTCCTTCTTGAGTCGTGTTATATGTATACTTACAGTTTTAAGAAAAATTTGACCATTATGGAAGGAATAAAACTGTTAAGAGGGTTTATCGAGGGCTTTATAAATCTGCACCTTGGAGAGGTAGCGGACAGATTTTTTTTTTTTTCTCCTAGTCATTGAACTTAACAGGCAGACAAAATGAGTAACCTCTCTCTCTTCCTTACGGATGCCTTATGGAGTGATTTATTGTGTATTTGTATATTCTGGTCACTGCTGGGCACCATTCCAGGTAAATGAAGGATATTGTCCCTATCTTCAGAAAGTAATCATGGAATTAGTACAGGAGGAATTTCTCTAATCCTATTCTAGAAAATCTTAAGAATAAAGTTGGCTACCAAATCAGTGTGATCTAGAGAGTAGTTCTCTAAGTGTGGAGGCCCCTGGGGATCTCTGAGACCCTTTCAGGGAGTTCACAAGGTCAAAATTATCTTCATAATGATTTGAAAAGTTATTTTCCCCTTTACTCTCATAGATTCACAGGTGACCAGTGGAGTTTTTCAGAAACTTTGACATGTGATGTTACAATTTATTGGTGAAAAAAATGATCAAAATACAAAATCAAGGAAAAGAACTTAGCCTTCTTCTAGTAAGCCAGATGTTGAAGAGATTTACAAAACTGAAAAATAAAACTATCCTCCTTGCTAAATTTTTTTTGAAATATGGTTATTTTTCATAAAATAATTTCTGTTAACATAGTTTTCCTTTACATTGAATTAAGAAGCATCAAAAATCTTAGTTTTAATTTCTATTAATAAACATTGATATCTGCATAATTCACATAAACAAAACTCTTTGGAATCCTCAATGATTTTTTTGTTTGTTTGTTTTTGTTTGTTTGTTTTGGTACTGGGGATTGAACTCAGAGGCACTCAACTACTGAGCCACATCCCCAGCCCTATTTTGTATTTTATTTAGAGACAGAGTCTCACTGAGTTGCTTCGCGCCTCGCTTTTGCTGAGGCTGGCTTTGAATTTGTGGTCCTCCTTCCTCAGCCTCCCAAGCCACTGGGATTCAGACGTATGCCACCGTTCCCAGCTTGGAGTCCTCAATTATTTTTTAAAAATGATTTTGGGGTGCTGGGGATTGAACCTAGGACCTTGCACATGCTAGTAAGCACTGTACCCCTGAACTCCACCTGAAGCCCTGAGCCTTTATTTTCTCTAATACTACTGGGCCAGGGGCCTGGGATCAAGCAGTTGTACTCATCTGAGAGCGAGAGGCTTCCTGGTTGAAGGACAGGCCTCTGTCACTTGGGGCACTCCCCATCCTTTTACCTATGTGCTCCAGGGGCAGGCAGCTTGCCTGTCTCCTTCCTGTTTGCTTTTCCCGGCCTCAGCATTCGTGAGTCTGGTATCCATATGGTGCTCCACTCAGAGCTCCCAGGGGATTGCTTCATCTCACAGCCATCTGGAGGACAGCCAGAGGGATTTAGGATTGTGTCTTTCTCACTCCTCAGGGATTGATGTTTCTTGGCAGGGACTCAAGCCCCTTCTTGCTCTGCTCCCTTGGAACCCTAATTTCTCCATTCTCCCCCCCTCAGTCACACTTGGTCATTATTTATTGTTTCTTTTCCCTGTAGAGAAAGATGATTATTGAAGACGAAACAGAGTTTTGTGGAGAAGAGCTGCTTCACAGTATGTTGCAGTGTAAGGTAAGACTTGTGGCTAGAGCCAAACATGAAAATCTTCTGTGAAGTGATTGGCCAGACTTGTCCAGTTTTCTTTTTGGTCATTTGTGGGGGGATTGAATTTAAGATTTTTCCCATAGATCAGATACGTAGCCTGGTATATATCTCCAAAATGTCTTTTTTTTTTTTCCCCTAGTGACTATCTTGCTGTCTCTGTGCCATCTCTGTGGTCAGTAGTTAGGAAAGAATTCACTTGACCATAATGGATCAGTTCATTGTAATCCTGAGGAGGCCTGGTATAGCAAAAAGCTTGGGATCATTTTTAGCATCAAATAAACCTGGATTCAAACCTAATTGTACAACTCTTTTGCTTTGTGATATTGGGCCAGTTGCCTCAGCATCTTTTTTATTTCCTCATCTATAAACTGGGTAGAAAATACCTTTGTGGGTGCTTATGAGAGCTGGAGTTATGAAACAGTGGATGTGAAGCACCCAGCTCAATGCTGGCCTCCTCTGGATGCTTTTTGTCCTGATTGGAATCAGGAAGCACATGTCTGGGGTAGAATGAGGCAGGGAAACTCCAGGGAGGAAATGGGTTGAAGAGGGACAGAGGCCACACAGAGCTTATTTTTTGGCAGACATATAGGGAATATCCCCATGAGGTGACTGAGCTGCAAGTGAAGTAAGGATGTCAGTTTCCAGAGAGAAGACTGCAGAGGGGAGCTAAAAGGGAGAAGGGATCTCTAGTGTAGTGTTGGTGCCCTCAAAAAACCCTGTTCTTGGTTTGTTTCCCTTCTAAGTGACCCCTAGTCACGTGAGCCTGAATATCATCTCTTTTGGATTTGCTGTGGGGATTAGCAGTACCAAGAGGTGGTTCTGCGTGTAGCCACACATACTATTTAACATGTGTCAGATGCCAGCTTCAATTTGTTTTTTTGCCCTTTACAGGTGAGGTATTTGAGGGTCAGAATAATTAAGCAACTTGTTTAGGGTCACACAATTCGTCATTTCAGAGCTAAGATACAATGGCAGTCTATCTCCTGGAAGGCCTGAGTCAGGCACCACCACTGTCCTGTCCCAGAGGGGCCAGGATGACACTTACCTGGAGGTTTTGATTCTTTTTGGGCAGAGTGTGTTTGATGTCCTGGATGGGGAGGAGATGCGGCGAGCTCGGACCCGGGCCAATCCCTACGAGATGATCCGAGGAGTCTTCTTCCTTAACAGGTTTGCTGACCTTTCCCCTACCTCCCCTGACAGGCCCTGCTCCACCTTTCATTTGAACCTCGGTTTTTCATACATTTGGAACTGAGTTGTACTTTTCTATCTTGCTTTGTTGCAGGGCAGCGATGAAGATGGCTAACATGGATTTTGTGTTTGATCACATGTTTACAAATCCCCGGGACTCTTATGGGGTGAGAATTCATGGTGCTGGGTGGACTTAAGCTTCAGTAACTCAAAAATTGCCATTTGTTCAGTGTTAGGAGAATATTCCTGCTGTGTAATACAGTCATGTTTTGCTTTGAGCTCTCCAGATACAGACCCATAGTGCTTCTATGGTCCCAGGAGTGCCCCAGTATACCAGAAGGCTCTTAAGATCTGTTCTAGCACCAAGCTCTGTAACAGGGCCACTTTCTGCCTCTCTGAACAAGACCTTTTCAAGAAGTGGTAGAGGGCTGGGGTTGTGACTCAATGGCAAAGCGCTTGTCTTGTACATGTGAGGCACTGGGTTTGAGCTTCAGCGCCACATAAAAATAAATAAACAAAATAAAGATATTGTGTCCATGTATAACTAAAAAAATTTAAAAAAAAGAAGTGGTAGAGCAAAATGATTTTCTCCTCTGCTCCCTGTCGTTTCTATGAATGTTGACGTTCCATAATGATAGAGAAACGAAAAAGGAAACCTCATTCTAGAATTCTCTTCAGTTTCAAAGCATTTTCCCTCAGTCCTAGAAAGTTAGTTTTCTTTGACAGTAACAGGGCCAGGAGCCAGCTGCCCCCAAACCTGTTTCTGCTTCACTTACCTGAGTTCTGCTAGACCCCCTTATTACCCTTGGGCTAAAGAAACTTATTTCAAGTTCCTTAATGTTTCAGCTCTACCTGCCTAACTACTTCCGTCATGCTGTCAAAACTGGCATGCAGACCCCTCTAGCCTTTACTCATTTTTTCTCCCAGGGCTCCCTCCCCATTTTCCAGGACCAGCAGGCAGTACAAATGGGCTCTTGGAATTAGCATCTTGAGAAAATTAGGTTGATATAATGTTGATTTAATTTTCTGAGCTCCCAATGATTTCCTTTAAACCCCTGCCTGGCAGAGGAACTCTGTTAAGCTGATGGGAAGTCACAGTGTCATTTTGGGCTTTTAAATGTAAACGCCTCCAGCAGCTGGTATCTGGTTATTGTCTTTTGCTGTCATGAAAATGAAGTAGGCACCAGGATTGTACCATTCAGGTTGAGGGTGGAGATGGTAGTTATATAGGAAAGGGCAGCTGTGTTTGTAACGCTTTAGGCAGCTTCTTGACCCGAATTGATTGTTAGGGGCCATGGAGAATTGCCCTTTCAGAGATGTTTCTCTACACTCTACTATAGAAAGTGATTTTTTTCCTGAGCCCTTAGTATTTTCTTTTTTCTTTTCATCTCTGTTTTTCCCTGAGGACCCAGTGACAGCCAAGCCCAGCAGGCTTGGTTGTTTTTCAGGCAGCCAGAGACACCAGACCAGTCCCCAGCAGAGGTGGGAGTGGCAGGAGGCCCAGCACACACCCAGGCTTGCTAGGGACTTGCTTTGTGGCTCTTGAATTAGACAATTACAGACTAAGAATCAGAGAACTTGACAGGGGAGTGTGGAGAGGGTGGGAGGCAGGGGCAGGAATCTGGGTTTTCAAATAGGTCTCTGGTGCTACAGGTTATGGTAAAGGGAGCAAAGGGACTAGAGGAGAAAAAAAATTGTAAATAAGAATTAGAAAGGGGCTGGGGCTGTGGCTCATTGGTAGAGCGCTCACCTAGCATGCAAGAGGCAATGGGTTCTATCCTCAGCACCACATAAAACAAAATAACGTGTCTGCCTAAAACTAAAGATACATAAATAAATAAATGTTAAAAAAAAAAAGAATTGGAAGAAACAAGGGAAAGAAGGGAATTTAGACCCTTGGTTGGAGTACATGGAAGCATGTTACAATCTACTGTATTATGTGAGGGATTCTTGTGCCAGGAGATGTTGTTGAGGTAAAACAAAACAAAACAAAACAAAAAAACATTGTGAAGTGTGACAGAAGACAAAAACTGAATGTGGATCTTTACGTTTCAGTCCTGTCTTAGAGGAAATTAGAATGCTGCACTTGGCATAGAAAAAAAGGATAAGAGTTTTGACTCCAAAGAAGTTGATCCAGTTGAGTATAGTGTCATCTTTTATTTGTTGAATATTTTACAGTTTGAGAAAAGTCTTTGCGGTGATTTATTTAACCTACAACAGCCTTGGGAAATGCCTACATTAATCTTGATTTATAGTTGAGGAAGGTTTAAATTGTGTTTAAACCTTGAGTTTAAAGGTTTAAATTGTGGTCTTGCTCTGACTACACAGCCAGTAAGTAGAGCTGAGACCCCCAGCTGTCCTTTCTATGCACAGACTCCTGGCCATGGTTGCGAGGGCCACTCGTTTTGAAATCATAGAGTGAGGTCGTGTGTAGGACACCTTGTAAGAGTTGAGATGCTCTTATTGAGTCATTGCCCTTCTTTTCCCCAATCTTTGGCTCAGTAGTTCACCCAGGGAGGCCGGAGCCTGGGCTGAGGCACAGCCAGTGGTGAGGAACATTGTTTTCCATCTTTGCAGTGTAGGCAGGGCTTGAACTTGTGACCTCTGCTTCATCAGCACTGTGCTGAATGGAAGGTGCTACAGAATGTTCTTGGTAAATGCCATTAATTCTTTCTTTGAGTGTGCAAATGAATATAATCCAAAAATATGAATAATTAATGGCTCAGGAACAAAGAACACTGGGGAGGAGTAATGAGGAATAGGGGAAAGGACTGATATGTCCCAGCATGCCCAAGGGGGCTTGTCACAGGATGACGAAGTTTATTTTTAACTGAAGTCATTTCTCCAGAGACTTTTCCACTGTTTTGATAAAGCTAGAGAGCTCTCATCAGAGGCAAGGCCCTTGTCATCTGGAAGTGACTGGATTCCGATCTTTATCAGGCGGTTGCAGAACTCTGGACAAGTGCTTGGCCCTGCCAGTCTGTGGAAAAGGAAGGCTGAGGGCTTGAGGCCCCTTCAAAGCCAACCATAGCCCTCTCGGTCACCCATTCCAGAACTCACCCTCATGTCACAGTGCAGATAGTCCATCTTCTGCTGAGAGGGTAGAATTCACCAACTAGGGCTCAAAGGTTGATGAGAGCATCCAAGAGAAATATAAACAACACAGTGTGGAGCAGTGGTGGATCCGCATCAATTTGAGGTTAAGAGAGAAAGGTACTTGAAGGGCCAAAAATGTAATCAAATAAAAATTCAAATGATGACTGTGGTTTAGTCAGGCGTGTGGTAGAGGGTGCTTTGGGCTGCGTGGAAGCTGCCATTGCTGTGCCAACTGTCTTACCTTGCCAGCTTCCCATGGTGCTGTGCTTTTGGGTCCCCCACCTAGAACTGGGCAAAGGCAGGAGAAGGAAGGGAGTACAAAGCAGCAGACAAGTGTGATGTGGTGTCTTGTGTTGGATTGTGGAACAGAAAGAGGATGCTAGTGAACTCTGAATAAACTTTGGAGTTTACTTTTTTTAAATGTATTTTTAGTTGTTGATAGACCTTTATTTTATTCATTTATTTATATGTGGTGCTGAGAATCAAACCCAGCTCCTCATACATGTGAGGCAAGCACTCAACTACTGAGCCACGACCCCAATCCTAGTTTTTTCCTTTGTGATGCTGGGGTGGAACCCAGGGCTTCAAATTTGAGAGACAATTGAACTATCATTGAACTAAATTCCTAGCCCTGAAGTTTATTTATTTTTTATTGTTTGGGGCACTGGGCATCGAACTCAGGGGTACTTGACCACTCAGTCACATCCCCAGCCCTATTTTGTATTTTATTTAGAGATAGGGTCTCACTGAGTTGCTTAGCACCTTGCTGTTGCTGAGGCTGGCTTTGAACCTGCGATCCTCCTGCCTCAGCCTCTGGGGCTACTGGGATTATAGGCATGCACCACTATGCCTCCTGGCTTGGAATTTATTTTTAATAGTAACATAGCAATGAGAGTTTCTTAGTTTTGACATATTTGTCATGGTTATATATTAACGAAACTGGCAACTGGGTGAAATACAGGAACTCTGCACTAACTTGGCAGAATATTTCTATTCAGTAGAAATCATGAATGGCAGGGTATGGTTTGGATAAGCCCTGAGAAATAAAAATGCCATTCAGATATGTACAGAGATGTTTTTTTAGAATGTTTTATTATTGAACTAGCCCTAGTGTATGAAAGGCATTTGGGGTATTTTGGGAGTGGGCTGGGTCACTCCAGGTGGTGATAATCACAGAGGATCCACATCCTGGATGTTGTGGCCCTGGGGGAGGCTCTGGATTATACTTGCTAAAAGGCTTACTTTCCCCTGTGTCCTTTTTCCTGTTCCTCAGTGAGCCATCTTTTTTCCCTTTCTCCCTGTGTTTTATTTCCCTTTGCAGAAGCCACTGGTGAAGGATCGGGAAGCCGAGCTTCTGTACTTTGCTGACGTCTGTGCAGGCCCAGGTGGCTTCTCAGAGTATGTGCTGTGGAGGAAGAAGTGGCATGCAAAGGGCTTTGGGATGACACTGAAGGGCCCTAACGACTTCAAGCTGGAGGACTTCTACTCAGCCTCCAGTGAGCTCTTCGAGCCCTACTATGGTAGGGACACTGAGCAGGGAGGGTGAGAGGTGGTCTGAGGGGAAGCCCACATGCAGTGCTTCAGACCAGAAGCAGTTGTTATCTACACACAGTGTGTTCTTTCCTAGATCTCTTGGCCTGGGGTTCACAGTCCTTGTAATGAGGGTCTTGGTGCCCTTCGAACTGTCCCCAGCCTGCAAAACACAGGTTAAGCACTTTGCTAGGTAAACTGTCATCAAAGCCATATTAATCCTTCCTTACAAGAGCACTATTCTCTTGTGATGACAGGAAATAATGAAACTGCCTAAGACTGAAAACTGGCAGGGTTATTAACAAGTACAAACTGCACACCCATCTTTGGCCCTGTGTTCCAGGTGTGGAGTGCACAGCTCAGCAGCCCCACAGCAATCCTTTATAAAAAGTTGGTATTGGTTTTGGGGCATGGATGCTTTAACTACAAGTTGGGGTATTGAAGAGGAAGGGCCTCTGTTTCATATGATGACTCTTGGCCGGACAGCTACTTTTGCACTCTGGTTAATTATAGCAGAGACTAGGTCTTCCTCCTGGTCCATCATTGTAAGGCAACTTTGCAGGATAGGCCCTGGGTCTCAAGACTCTCCTGGTACCTGTGCTCACTGTCTCAGAGAGCTCATATTCCAGCTTGTAGAATGTCCCAGGGCAGATGAACTCATTGTGACTCTTGTGTCCTGCCAGGTGAGGGTGGGATTGATGGAGATGGAGATATCACCCGCCCAGAGAACATCAGTGCTTTTCGGAATTTTGTCCTGGATAACACAGATCGCAAGGGTGTGCACTTTCTGATGGCTGATGGGGTAGGTGGCCTTCTCTTCATAGAGTGATCCATTAAAGATTTGTTAATTTAGAGACAGTTTGACAATTGTTGTTGTTTTGTTTGGTCCTTAAGCTGCTGCCAGAGATGGTAAGTGGTAGCTCGTTATCCAGGTACGAGGGGTGTGCATTTTTATTTCTTCTGTATATATTGTCCATGATTTTGTGAAGATTGTTAATGTGGATATGTATACTTGGAGCAAGGTGGAACATCCCATCTCATTTTGTTTAGAAACCTTGATTGGCTGTGAGACCTGGTAAGAAAAAAATCAACTGAATGGGAAGCATGCTGCCATCCTTTGTCACCTTGGGGTTGCTCCTGGTACAGGCTGCCTATATGTGGCCACTCCTGAGCCTCTCATAAGCTGATACCCGCTATTCTTATTAGGACTCACAGAGCATTCCGTTTCCCATCTTGTGGTTAACCAATGACTAGTCATATAACTAAAGGCAGCCACTCAGAAGAATCCATGGAAGCTCTGTCAGTGGCTAGGCTAAAGTGAATATTCAAGGGGCTTTGTCAGTGGACATCTGCCTGATGATAAGAGCACACCTTTCTTCAGCAGAAGTCTCACCCAGTGACCCAACACCAGATGTAGTTCTTTTTGGAGTGAGCCATCACTTACTCTGAGGAAGGATAGACACAGTGGCAGTTGCTCCAAAACATGGCTAGAGTTGAGAAGAAGCTCTGTAGCTCTTGGGGCGCCTCTCGAGCAGTACCTGTGCAGGAGGTGAGGTGGGAAATGAAGGAAGGAAGGCAGGGTGTCAGTAAGAGATCTGAAGATGCCTTGGCTCTCCAAAACATCATGCATAGCAGGGAATAGTGGATAGATGGGACTTGGGCTAGTAGGGTGGGGGGCATTTGTGGGGTCTGATAGTGCTCATGAGGCAACCATTGTGGTGTGATAACTGGAATGTTTTTTTAATTGTCCTTATAAATAGGCCTGCCCTGCCCCTTTTTGGTGGTGGTGCTAGGGATCAAACCCAGGGCCTTGCACTTGCTAGGTGAGCACCGTACCACTGAAGGATACCCCCAGCCCAACAGGAATGCATTTTGAGAAGCATCTATAAGACTAGATGACATTGCTAAACATTTTTTATTCTGATTCACTTAGCTGTTACTTTTGTAGGACTGAGCCAGGGACACAACATCTGGCTGGAGCCAGCTTAATGGAGGCCAGCCTCTTTTTTGTTTTTTTCTAATTGTAAAAAAACAGCTAAAATAAAATATGTCATTTAACCAGTTTTTAAGTCTACAGTTCAGTAGTATTAAGTATTTTCATACTGTTGTGCAACAGATATCCAGAACATTTTCATTTTGCAAAACTGAAACTCTGTACCCATTAAACAACTATCTTTTCCCCTCTCTCCCCATCCCTTGGCCTTTGTTACTTCTATGTGGGCTTGGGGTCTTGGCTCCCTGCTCTGGAATCTCACAAGGAACTTTTTCTTTTTGAGAAAGTTTCCTTAGCCAGAGAGCGCTAGCTGGAGGGAAGAAGCTCCATGGTTTTAGGATAGGATAGCAGGTATTGTCAGCAAGTCCTTGGTTCAAAGAGAGAGAGAAAGAGAAAGAAAGAAAGAAAGAGTATCACTGTGACTAAGAATTATGCTAACCTTTATCCCTTTATCCTTTTACTAGACCACGGTCTGTTCAATGGTTGGTATGGTAGCTCAGTGAGCCCAAGCAGAGTATTCTGGTGATATTTACTCTCTGGATCTTATTAGGACTCACAGGACATTCCGTTTCCCATCTTGTGGTTAACCATGACTAGCTAATATTTTGCCTCTGTTCTGCCTTTCTCTTCCCTGGATTCCCATGTGGGTTTAGAAATTTTCCATTTCCTTGGGAAAGCAGACTTGGTCCTGTCCTTTGGGAGTGATAGGGCAAGAAAGCGATACTGGTACAGTAGTCAGGCCTGGGTCCCAGTACTCGGTGCCTTTGCCAGAAGAATTTAAATGCTGAGCTGTATCTTTATCAGTCAGATGGTGAAGATCAATGAAAACAGAGTCTCTGTGAAGATGAGGTAGGATGATGTTCTCAGTTCTGGTTGTCTCTTCCCACCCTGATCCCTGTGCTTTCATTTCAGGGTTTCTCAGTGGAAGGGCAAGAGAACCTGCAGGAGATCCTCAGCAAGCAACTGCTGCTGTGTCAGTTCCTCATGGCACTGTCTGTTGTCCGGACAGGTGACTTTTCAGCTGTCTCCTCACCCCAGCACTCATTAAGTCATATACAGGATTTGGTTGGGAAGTTTAAAAAAAGAAAAAACATAATAGAAAACTTTTTTTATCAGGTGACAGGTAGCTAAATGATGAATTTAGGGAAGAAAAGACAATAGAATTCTCAAAGTCCCCTCTAATACTGACTTTTCCATAAATTGCCTCTGACTTTTAGTGGTCCCAGGTACTTAGTCATCTGAGTCATTTCTTAGTCATCTTGATTGCCTGTAGCTACCTCACCTATCTCCTCAGAGAGACACATTGACTGCCACTGGTGTGTTCTTTCTGTTTTAGGAGGCCACTTTATTTGCAAAACCTTTGACCTCTTCACACCATTCAGTGTGGGACTCATTTACCTGCTCTACTGCTGCTTTGAACGAGTGTGTCTCTTCAAACCCATTACCAGCCGTCCTGCCAACTCAGAGCGGTGAGCCTTCTTCTGTTGGCTAAAAGTCAGAACAGCAAATGCTGGTGCATCTCTCTGGTAGGACCCCTCAAGCTATGTTAAAACTTTGACTTTAGAGAAATGACTAGCACTATGAGGAGCCAGGATTCTTAGACCCAAGGGGTCCTGAGCTGTGCTAGTTCAGCCTCTGCCTCCTTCTCCACAAGTCTTATTCTCCATGCGTATGTGAGAACTTCTTGGCTTGGTCTATGAGAGGGGACCAATACTAGGGACACTTGAAGAGGGATGTAAGCTGGGAAGAGGCAAGAGGCTGCCAACCATAGGCTCTGCTGGCATCCCAGGTGGGACATAGTGCCCCCACATGAGGGAAAGCAAACATAGCCAGTCACAATAATGAGGTAACTTGTTGAAAATACACATTTCTAGGCCCTGTCCTTGGAGAGTCTCATTCATTAGGTCTGTAATTTGGCAGACTCTAGAGGTGATGGCCATGCATCTGCTGCAGGGCAGTTGGGAATACCACCATAGAGATGGAAATACAGCCTTATACAAAAGGGAAGGTTCTGAGGTGAACATTGGCACACAGAGTCTGTGCTGTTCTTTGATCATAGACTTAAGGTTGAACAGGGAAGCTGTTTAACTTTGTGACTCTCTGAGGGTTTTAGGGGAAAGGAATGTGTGGGAGGAAGCCCTTGCTCAGTGGAGTGACAGAGTGTCTTCTGCCAGGTATGTTGTGTGCAAGGGCCTGAAAGTGGGCATAGATGAAGTGCGGGATTACCTCTTCTCGGTGAATATTAAACTCAACCAGCTGCAGAACACTGATTCTGATGTCAACCTTGTGGTCCCTTTGACGGTGATCAAGGGAGACCATGAATTTACTGACTACATGATCCGGTCTAATGAGAGGTAAGCCAGCGGTTGTTTTTGCTACCAGCACTGGAGTCTTAAGGAACACCAGAGAATGAGGGGCTGATGATGTGCCCTTGGTAGCTCCTTGTCATCTGGGTCTGCTCTGCTGGGTATCTTAGGATTTTGAATACCTTGAGGATCCTTGTTCTCTTCCCAAGTCATGTCCCAAGGGTGGTGGGTGGGTACATGTCTGGTGTAGGCCTGCCTGCTGGAGCCTGCGCCTGGTAGTGAAACCTAGCAGAAAGCAGCCTCTTTTGTTAGTAAAAGACCATCATGTTGTTGCATTGAGAAGTTCCCTGCTTGGAGGCAGGAGCTGGGTGGAAAGCAGGTGTACAGCATGCTTTGGAAATGCCAGACTTTGTCCAGTTCATGAGTTCCATATGTGTGTGGTCTGAATTTTTTTTTTAAACCTCCTTTAATTATCCTTAATTCTCCCTGCTTCCTGTCAGAGGTAATAATTTAAGATTGTGATAGTTGGCTCAGTTCTCTGAGTGGACAGGCCTTATAAAAAATTTTTTTTTGAGGTAGGTTGGAGGATTATATAATAGCAGCGATTCAGTAGAAAGTGCTCTCCTGGGGGACTAATAGGTGTTGGAAAGGTCTTATTTAAGTGTCAGATCCCATGTCTCCCAGAGAAGATAGGTATAGATGGCCCTGGAGAGTCATAGAGGGAAGGAAGTCTTTATCCTGCTCTTTGTTATTTCTTGAGCATCATCCTATATTTTAACTCTCCACAGTTCCACATAAGCCCTTTCATTTTGGTAGTAATGCTAGGCACCACAGTAGACACTCAACTTTAGGATGTGATAGATGAGGAAACAGACCCAGGAAGTCAGGGAAGTACCGTTCTGTAATACTCTGGGGCTCTCACTTTTCTCCCCCTAAATCATGTTGCCATCTGCTTTTTTTTTTTTTTTTTTTAAAGAGAGAGTGAGAGAGGAGAGAGAGAGAGATAGAGAGAATTTTTTTAATATTTATTTTTTAGTTCTCGGCAGACACAACATCTTTGTTGGTATGTGGTGCTGAGGATCGAACCCGGGCCGCACGCACGCCAGATGAGCGCGCTACCGCTTGAGCCACATCCCCAGCCCTGCCATCTGCTTTTAATAGTGTTTAAGCAACCCTGTAACCAACCACTTGTTTTTTTTAATTTGAGATATAATTTTATAATTGAAATGCAGATTTTAAGTGGACACTTCTATCCATTTTGAAAGATGCACACATGTAGTCTACATCCCTATTAAGATAATATTTCCGTTGCCTTCTGAGTTGAATCCAAACTCACATCTCTTCTGATTTTTATCACCATAGATTAGTTTTGTCTGTTCTACAACTTTTAATAAATTGAATCATAGAATATTCACTTGTGTCTGTTTTTTTTTTTTCCTCATCTTAATGTTTTTGAGATACATTCACATGTTAATTTCTTTTTATTGCTGAGTAATATTCTAATATGTGGATATACATAATTCATTCTTAGGTAGTTGGTTTACTTGAGATATTTCCAGTTGGGGGCCATTATGAATATAGCTCTACAAACATTCTTATACAAGGCTTTTGAGGGATAAATGTTTTCATTTCTCTTGGATAAATGCCCAAGAGTAGAAATTCTGAGACTACAGGGTAGATTTTTAAATGACATGTAGTTTTCTAATATGGCTGTACTGATTTATGCTCCTTCCAGCAATGTCTGAAGTTCTGATTGTTCTGCAACCTTGTCAGTATTTGGTATTGTCAGCCTTTTTTATTTTAACCATTCTAGTGGGTGTTGTGTTATGTCATTGTGGTTTAATGTATGTTTCTGAGATGAATGAGGTTGAATCCTTTTCCATGTGCCTTTTATGTGTATGTGCTGAGGATGGAACATAGGGCCCTGAGCATTCTAGGCAAGTACTGTGAGCTATACCCTAGCCCCTCTTTTCAACATTTTTAAAAATGGATGTCTTTAAGTTGTAGGATTAATTATGTATTTTGGGTACAGGTACTGTGTCAAATATGTGTGTGGTAAATATATTGCTTGCCCCCCTTTTTGGTACCTGAGGTTGAACCCAGGGGCTCTACCCTGAGCCACACCCCATCTTATTTTATTTTTTGACATCATCTTGCTGAGTTGCCCAGTCTAGCCTCACACTTATTCCTTCTGCCTCAGCTCCCTTGTGCATTTGCTCCTGGCTAGTTTGCCTATTAATTGTCTTTCTCTCTCTCTCTTTTTTTTTTTTTTTTTTTTGCTAGGGATTGAACCCAGAGTTGCTTTACCACTGAGCCATATCCCTAGCCCTTTTTATTTTTTATTTTGAGACAGTGTCTTGCTAAGTTACCCAGGCTGGCCTTGAATTTGCAATCCTCCTGCCTCAGCCTCCCCAATTCCTGGAATTATAGGCATGTACCACACTGTGCCTGGATACTTATTCCTTTTCTGAATGTTATCTTTTTATAAGCAGATATTTAATTCTTTTTTAGTTTTCTGAGTATTTTTTATATTGTGGAAAATATATATAACATAAAATGAAATTAAAATTGTGGTGCAGCCATCACCACTATACATTTCTAGAATATTTTCATCATCTTAAACAGCAGCTCTGTATCCATTAAATAAAAGCCCCTATTTTTCCCTTCTTCCAGCCCCTGGTAACCACTGTTACACTTCCTGTGTTTTCGAAGTTGCCTATTCTAGGTATCTCATTTAATAGATTCATACAATATTTATCCTTTTGTTTCTGATTTATTTTATTTTGCATAATGTTTTCAAGATTTATCATGTTGCAGAATTCATCATGTGGCAGAATTTTACTCCTTTTTATATGATATACATTTTCTCTATCCATTCTTCTGTTGATAGACATTGGGGCTGTTACCACCTTTTAGCTGCTATGCATAATAGCACTATTCATTTATTTATATGCTGTGCTGAAAATCGAACCCAGTGCCTCACACATGCTAGGCAAGGCACTCTACCACTGAGCACAACTGCAGCCCCATATTTTGCATAGTAGCACTAGGAATATAGGTGTGCCAGTATCTATTTGAGTTGCTGCTTTCAGTTCTTTTGAGATTCACTTGTAAGTGGAATTGCCCCCCTCTTTTGGTGGACCATAAGGTGTTTGTTTGTTTGTTTTGAGGAACTGTCATACTGTTTTCTATGATAGCTACACCAATTTACATTCCCATTAGCAGTTTATGAAGGCTACAGTTTCTCCATACCCTTACCAGTACTGTTATTTTCCATTTTTCTGATAATAGACTTCTTAATGTATGTGCAATGGTATCTAAGTGGTTGATTTGCATTTTCCTAATAACTAGTGTTGTTTGAGCATTTTTTTCATGTGTTATGGACCATTTGAATGTCTTTTTTAGAGAAATGTCTATTCACACCTTTCCCATTTTTAAAATTGGGTTTTTATTGTTCTTTATATATTCTGGATATTAATCTTTTATCAGATTTTATTTGAAAATATTATCTCCCATTCTGTGGTTTATTTGTTCACTCTACTGCTTGTTTTTTGATACACAGAAGTTTTTAATATTAATGCTGCTCAGGTTGCCTATTTTTTTCTTTAATTACTATATATAGGAAATCATTGCTAAATTCAATGTCATGAAGCTTTTTGCCTCTGTTTTCTTGTCAGAGTTTTATAGTTTTAGCCCATTATAAACAAAGGTCTTTAGGCCATTTTTTATGTAGCATTAGGTAAGTGTCCAGCTTCCTTCTTTTGAATGTGAATATCCAGTTCCCCCAGCACCATTTCTTGAAAACACTGTCCTTTCGCTATTTAATGGTCTTGTCAAAAATCTTTTAACTATACATGTGAGAATTTATTTCTGGACCCTGTTCCAAGCATCTATCTTTATTCCAGTATTATAATGTTTTAATGAGCTTTGTAGTAGTTTTGAAATCAGGACCTGTGTATCTCCAAATTTGCTTGTCATTTTCAAGATTTTTAGCTGCTTAGCGTCCCTTGAAATTATATATGACCCCCCGCCCCCGCCTTTTTTTTTTAATGGTGCTGGGGATCAAACTCAGGGCCTCAAGTGCATGCTGTCTGGCAAGTGCTCTACCACTGCTACATTATCAGCACCTCCCCACCCTTTTTTGAGACGGAGTCTTCTTATGTTACTCAGGTTGGTTTCCCAACTCCTTGGCTCAAGAGGTCCTCTTCCTTCAGCTTCCTGAAGAGCTGGGATTGTAGGCACATGTCGTTACTCCTGGTTCTATATAAATTTAAGGATGGGATATTCTCTTTCTGCAAAAACTGCCATTAGGATTTTGATAGGAATTGCATTGAATCTGTAGGTTATTTTTGGGTAGTATTGTCATCTTAATGGTAATACTTCTTCCAATCCATTAACATGGGATGTTTCCAATTATTTATGTCTTCTTTAATTTCTTTTGGCAGTGTTTTGTTATTTTCAGTGAACAGGTCTTTACATCCTTAATTTATTCTTTTTGGTACTATTATATGTTGAATTGTTTTCTTAATTACCTTTTGGGATTATTCATTGTTAATATGTAGAAGTGACTGATTTTTGTGTGTTGATGTTGTATCTTGAAAGTTCCCTGAAATCACTTATTAGTTATAACAGCTGTGTGTGTATATGTGTGTAATCTTTAGACTTTTCTATTTTAAGATCTTGTCATCTGTGAAGTAAGATAATTTTACTTCTTGTTTTCTAACTCGGATATCTAAAAGTTTAAAATCTTGAAGATGAAATATAATTTACCAATTTTTCTTTTGGTAATGATTTGTTTTCTCTCTAAAAAAGTCTGCCTTCACAAGACATAAAATAATATCCTATTTTCATGCAGACTTTTTTCTTTTATCCTTTATGTTTGTGGTATATCTAAAATTAATTTTTGTGTATTATATGATACAGGGGTCAAGTGTCCTTTTTTTTTCTTATAGATATACAGTTGTCCACTAATTGTTGAAAATACTTACTTTTTCCCATTTTTAAAAAATATTTTTTCCCTTGGTTGTTGATAGATCTTTATTTTGTTTATTTATATGGGGTGCTGAGAATCTAACCCATTGCCTCACACATGCAAGGCAAGTGCACTACCGCTGAGCCATAGTCCCAGCCCTTCCATTAATTAAAAAAAAAAAATTCTTCTTATAAATTTTATTCTTTTCATAAATTATTTGTATACATGTGACTTCAGGTATCTCTGTTCCTTTCCATTAATTTATCCTTTTGTTAGTACCATACATACCTTGACAAAAGAAATATCACAAATAGTATGTTTCCCAGCTTTGTTCTTTTTTTTCCCCCCAAGATTATTTTGGCTATGTGTTTACATATAAGTTTTAGAATCAGCTTTTTAATTTATTCAAAAAGCCTTAGCAGTCTCTTTTAGTTTTCAGTGTAGAGGTTGTACAAAATCTTTTGTTGCTTATTCCCAAGGATATTATTTTAAATGACTTTTTAAAAATGTTATCTTCCAATTATTTATTTATTTAGTTAGTTATTTAGAGAGAATTTTAATATTTATTTTTCAGTTTTTTTCGGCGGACACAACATCTTTGTTTGTATGTAGTGCTGAGGATCGAACCAGGGTCGCAAGCATGCCAGGCGAGTGTGCTACCGCTTGAGCCACATCCTCAGCCCCTCATCTTCCAATTATTGATGCTACTTTTTTTTTTGCACATTAACTGCATCCTGTGAGAATTTACTTAATAGTGCTAGATATAGTTCTTAAGATATTTTTATTTACAAAATCATGTCTTCAGCCGGGCATGGTGGCGCACATTTGTAATCCCAGTGGCTCAGGAGGCTGAGGAAGGAGGATTGTGAGTTCAAAGCCAGCCTCAGCAATGCTTAGCAACTTGTGAGACCCTGTCTCTAAATAAAATTCAAAATAGGGCTGGGGATGTGGCTCAGTGGTTGAGAGTGCCCCTGAGTTCAACCCCTAGTACTAAAAAAAAAAAAAAAAAAAAAAAAAATTTTTTCTCCTTTCCAATTTGTATGCTTTTTATTTTTTTTCTTGTCTTATCTCACTAATTAGTTCCTCCAGTGTGATAAAGAATGGAAGTGGTAAGAGCACATTTTTCCTTGCTTTGGTCCAGAAAGTGTTTAACATCATTCTGTATGATGTTAGCTGTATGTTTGTATAGATTCTGATGGTTATCAATAGACTGAACCTAATTAATCAGTGAACTTGAGGACAGACAGGTCAACAGAAACCCAAACTGAAACACAAAGAAAAAAGTGAGGAGGAAAAAAAGAAAAAAAAAAAGGTCATCATTAGGTTGACAAATTTTTCTTCTGTTTCTAGTTTGCTGAGAGTTTTTCACCATGGGTGAATGTTTAATTTTGTCAAATACTTGTTCTTTATTTGAAGAAATTATTACAGGAGTTTTCTCATTTGTTCTGGTAATACAATTAATTACATTGAGTTCAAAATGGTTAAAAAAGTCTTGCATTTTGGGATAAACTCTAGTTGATTGTGATGTATAACTACTTTTATATATTTCTATATTTGATATATTAATATTTTATTCATGAGAGAAAAATCCCTAATTCTGTATTCTTTTAAGTCCTTGCCTGTTTTTAGTGTCAGGGTTTTGTTAAGTCTTTTTTCCTCCCCCTACATTTTTTTATTGGTGCAGTATAGTTGTAAATAAAGATGGGATTTGTTGTTACATATTCGTACATGTGCACAGTATGACAATATAATTTGGCCTATGTCACTCCTCAAAACTTCCCCCATCTGTGTTAGTTTCTTAACATGAATTTAGAAATGATTCCTCTTTTTGTATTTTCTGGAATAATTTATGTGACATTGGTTATTTCTTTTTTTTAAAAAAAATATTGATAAGATTAACCTGTGGAGCTATTTGAGTTTGCTTTATGGGAAATTTCAAAACTCATTCTTTATAATAGATATATGGTTTTTCAGATTCTTTGAGTTTTTTAAGGGTTATTTTTTAAATAAATTTGTTTTTAAATTTATTGTTCACTTCATTCAAGGTGTTGAATTTATTGGCATAGTTATTTATAATGTCACTTTATCCTTCAGTGTCTGTTGAACTCAGGGGTGCTTTGGAATTGAGCTACATCCCTAGCCCTTTTTATTTTTTATTTTGAGACAGGGTCTCATTAAATTGCTGAGGCTGGCTTGGAACTTGTGATCCACTTGCCTCCACCTGCTGAGTAGCTTGTTTTATAGGCTTGTGCCCCTGCCCCCTGGCTACTCCCTGAAGTTTTGTCAGTGTTTACTTCAATTGTTTAGGATCTTTGTTATTAGGCACATGCATGGTGAAGATTGTCTTGTCCTCTTGATTAGCTGAACTTTTGTCATTATAAAGTATTTATCCTTAGTAATACTCTTTGAGTCATCTTTGCTATTAATGTAGCTTCATAAGCCTTTATAGCTTAGTGCTTGCATGGTGTTTTTCTGTCCTTCTGTTTTCTGTCTTTGTTTTTATGATTAAATGTATTTCTTGGGAAAAGCATATGGTTGGGTCTTACCTTTTTGTCCAGTCTGACCTGTATAAAAGTCTCTGCCTTTTAATTGGAATAGTTAAACATTTACATGGAGTGTAATTATTGATATATGTGAGTTTAAATCCCCCATCTTGATTGTTTGGTTTCTTTTTACCCTATTTGCTCTTGTTCCTCTGTTCTTTTCTTCTTTCCTTTTTGGGGAGAATAATTTAGTATTTTTAGTACTCCTTTTTATTTCTTTGATTTTTTATATGCCTTTTTGTGTTATGTGTTAGTTGTTGCTCTAGAGATTATAATATGCATTTTTAATTTATCATAGCCTCCCATCCAAAAATATTCTGCTGCAGTGTAAGAACTTTATAATAGTATATATGCAATTACTGTCCTGCCACCTTTGTGTTCTTGTTTTTATATAAACTCAATTTTATATCATTAGTTTTACTTTAAATAATTTGTGCTTTAAAGATATATGCACATACACATATTATTTCTTTTAATGTTCTTGGTATTTACTGACATATTTAGCCTCTCTGGTATTCTTCATGCCTTCTTGGAGAACCAGATTTATACTTGAAATAATTATCTTTGGGCCTATTTTTGTAGTTCAAGCCTGCTATAGACTAATTCTTTCAGCTTTTGTCTATTTAAAAATGTATTTTTTTCCTTTCATTTCGAAGGATATTTGCATTGGATATGGAATTTGAAGTTGATCATTTTTTTTTCTTTCAGCACTTTAAACATATTATTCCATTTTTTGTCCTCTGTGTTTCTGATGAGAAGTCAGCCATTATTCTCTGCATGTCATGTGTCTGTTTTCCTGTGGCTGCTTTCAAGAGTTTCCTTTTATCAGCAGGTTGGCCCTGCTAAATCCTTCTGTGATTTTCTTTGTATTTATTTGGAATTGAGTGACCTTGGATCTGTGGATTGATTTCATTCCATATGGAAATTTCTTGGTCATTATCTTGTCAGTACTTTTTTTATCCTTCTTTTTCCTCTGCTTCTGGGATTCCAGTTATATTTATGTTAATCAGAGTGTTATTGCTCCTGGACCTCAGATGGCCTGTTTTGTTTTGTTTTCTTCCAACTTTTTTCTTTGGGTTTCAGTTTGGTTTCTCTTGACCTATCTGTCCTCAAGTTCACTGATTAATTAGGTTTAGTCTTCTGATAACCATCAAAATAATTGTTCTTTTTTTCTTTTTTCAAAAACTTATTTGCCTTTGGGCTGGGGTTGTGGCTCAGTGATAGAGCACTTGCCTAGCATATGTGAGGCACTGGCTTCGATTTGCAGCACCACATAAAAATGAATAAATAAAATAATGGTATTGTGTCCATCAACAACTAAAAAATTTTTTTAAAATATATTTGCCTTTCCAATATATAGTTTCTATATCTTTGCTAAAATTCTCCATCCTCTCTATTAATGTTGTCTACCCTTCCACTAGATCTTTTAGTATGTTTATTAGTTAAAGATCCTTCCTGACAGTTCCAACATTCAGGCCACCCCTGGGTCTTGTTCTGTTGAACTGTTTTCCCTCTTATCAGTGGGTCACATTTCTTGCTTCATCATTTACCTGATGATTATTTATTAAATACCAGATATTGGCTGGGTATGGTGATGCATGCCAATAATCCCAGTGACTTCAGAGGTTGAGGAAGGAAGATCTTGAGTTTGAGGCCAGCAAGTTAGTGAGACCCTCAGCAACTTAGTGAGACCCTCAGCAACTTAATGAGACCCTGTCTGAAAATAAAAAATAAAAAAAAAAACTGAGGATGCAGCTCCGTGGTAAAGTGCTCCTGAGTTCAATCTCTAGTACAAGTAAATACCAGGTATTGTGTGTTAGGTACAGTGGAGACTAAAGTAAAAAGGGTCACTGTCCGTGTAGATGGATTGTCAGTGTGGTCTGTAATTTAACTGGGTCTGGGCTTTGTTGTTGCTTTATTTAGAATAAGTTCACCATTACTTTCAAATTCTTCAAGGGTAGCATGAGGACCTTCCTTTTAGCAGGACTTGGGACCTAAGTGTCTGGAGGATTTGACTAGTTCTGCTCTGCTCTTGGCTTCAGTGGGCCCATGTAACTGCACCTAGTGTGGGGGATGGTCCTCTCAACTCTCTGATCCCTTTACAAAAACAGATGGCCACTGCTTTGGCTCAACTTCTCTGTGCATATGTCACTTGGCTGTCTTCTGGTGATCCTTCTGACATCAATTTTTTTCCCCTCTCCTAGTCACTGTAGTCTGCAGATCAAAGCTCTGGCCAAAATCCATGCCTTCGTTCAAGACACGTGAGTGTTGCACACTTTTTAGAATTCACCTATTTCAAGGGAAGATTTTGCTTTGCTCCTCCCCCCATGCTGTTTGTTTATTTAATTTTAATAATCATTTAAAAACGTATTTGTATCTCATATTCTTCCCTGGTCTCTAAAGGATGCCAGAGAAGCATAAGGTGTGAATTTTGTTCTCCCAGACTCAATGTGTGTTGGGGCAGATACGAGTAACTCAGTACAAGGAAGTTAACCACACTGCCCCAGAGGCTGTGGAGGGCATGGCACAGAACACGCAGTGTTTGGGTGTAAGTGCAGAGAGTGAGACCACAAGGAGAGCGAGGGCTGGGCAGGGAAAACCTCTGGTGGAAGCAAATGTGGGTTAATTCAGCTTTGTGGGATGTCAGCATAGTGACATTTGCCAGGATAGCATTCATGTGGCCTGTGTCAGGAGGGGAACCAGAATGTGCTGATAGGTGTTTGGAAGAAGGGTGTGTGGGGAACCCTGGCATCCAGGTGGTCATGAGGACAGTCTCCTTCCTTCCCTGGTGGTAGGAAGGGGAAGTGGTCCCGTTCTGGGAACCTGAGCTCCTGTCTTCAGGAGGAGAGTGAGGTGAGCGCACCCTGGACGAATGGAGTGTCCTTACTCATGAACACCTCCCTCCTGGCAGTTTAGAGGTGCACAAGGGCTGCACTGCTGTGCCAAGGTTTTAACCACTTGCTGGCTTTGTTTCCCTAGGACCCTGAGTGAGCCTCGACAGGCAGAGATCCGAAAAGATTGCCTCCGACTCTGGGGGGTGAGCTTCTCCCCCAGCCCATTGTCACTTGGGGTGGGGACACTATAGAGGACAATGGGAACGTCACCTTTAGGGCCTCCCTTAACTGGAAAGTGTCTTCTATCCTCAGCATTCCATGGCTGGCCATCTTGGCACTGCTGGGAGTTGTTTACTAGGCCCTTAAACTTTAATTTGTCCTTACAGCTGGGACAGAGGAATGGGGTGCTGGTTGTGGTGGTACATGCCTGCAATCCTTACGGCTCAGGAGGTTGAGGCAGGAGGATCATGAGTTCAAAACCAGACACAGCAATTTAGTGAGGCTCTAAGCAACTTAGTGAGACCCTGTCTCAAAAATGAAAAAATAAGACTGGCGCCATGGTGCATGCCTGTAATCCCAGCAGCTCGGGAGGCTGAGGCAGGACGATTGTGAGTTCAGAGCCAACCTCAGCAACAGCGAGGCGCTAAGCAACTCAGTGAGACCCTGTCTCTAAATAACAAAAAGGGGCTGGGAATGTGCCCCAGTTGAGTAAGCCCTGCTGGGTTCAATCCCCGGTACAAAAAAAAAAAATGTGTGTGTGTATATACATACACACACACACACACACACACACACACACGCTGGGCATATGGTTCAGTGGTTAAATGCCCCTGGGTTCAATCCCTGGTACCCCTCCCCACCTTACCCCCCCCCCAAAAGAAAAGAAAAATAAAGGATGGCACAGTGGGTGGACAGGTTTCATTCTGTGCTGGTAGCCCTGTGTAGCAACACTGACCAACAGAGCCCCAGAGAAGAGGAAGTGGCTTTTGGGGTGTGCCACTACAGGTCTGAAGGAGAGCAGTGATTCTCCGCTTTGCCTCTTGCCCCCTCTTTCCTTACACCAGGGTGTTCCCCCCCCCCCACCCGTACCTGCTGCTGGCCTGTGCAGTCACACACGGCCTTGGTCAACATGACAACTTGAAAAATCAAAGCCTTTTGCTTTCTCACTTCAGATCCCTGACCAGGCTAGAGTTGCTCCATCTTCCTCAGACCCGAAATCTAAGTTCTTCGAGCTAATCCAGGTAAATCTGGTTTCTGTGATAGAAATAAAAAGCTGGAGGCCTTACTCTAGGTGTGGAAGGTGTCACCAAGGCCTCCTCCTTGGCCTCCAGAAGGCCTACGCAAGCACCACTTCTGGGCCTGAGGGACTGGACTGAACCTGATGGTGCAGAGCCTTTGGTATAGGGTGTGGAGTTCCCCAGGAACATAGCAGGACAGCAAATTTCCAGTCTTGAGATGTGCTTGTATCCGGCATTCCTGCCGCCCAAAAGGTGATGCTGCCTGTCATGTCCTGGCAAGTCCAAGGTCCTGTGGCCTTTGCCTATAGAGGAGACATCCCCTAGGTGGGATGACCTTAGGCAGGGGAGCTGGGCAGAAAGCCAAGGTAGCTGCCAGAGAAGCCCACAGGGCTGGCCTCACTCTGGGTTGCCTAACCTGGTTCTGGTAAGCTGATTCTCAGTGTTCTTCTCTTTGGTTTTCCTACCACCCAACCTCTGGCTTTTCCTGCAGACCTCATTTAAATCTGGCCCAGATTGTGGGCCATTGTGCTGGTTTTATTGGGGTCACAAAAGGGAGAGTGAGTTCAAGATGGTCCCAGAAGAATTATGTGTACATTTTTCTGAATGGGGTAGAGGGATGACTTCACTGCTCTCAAACCAACTGTGGAGAATCCTTGCTTTGTGTTATTGAAGGGACGGCTTTTATATTCTGGTGACATTTCCTTATAGCTCTGGTAAATCGATCTGTACTTGGGGACTTGGTGTTCTTTCCTTTCCCAGCCTCTTCTAATAGGTCCTAAAGGAACACTCCAGGCAGATGGAAATAGATCCCATTTAGTGCATGGTTAGGTAGAGAAGAAGGAGCAGGGGAGCATTTTTCTGAGAGCAAGTGCTTCCTGTCCCTTGCCTCTCCTAGCTTGCTCTAGCCCATATGGGCACCAGTACTGTCTGTGCTTTCTCCAGCCCAGCACTGTTTTCTTTGGTCTACGGCTACAGGGCACTGAGATCGACATCTTCAGCTACAAGCCCATGCTGCTTACCTCCAAAACCCTGGAGAAAATCCGCCCTGTGCTCGACTACCGCTGCATGGTGTCTGGCAGCCAGCAGAAGTTCCTCCTCGGCCTGGGAGTAAGTCTGCAGCTGGCTTCCTACCAGCTTGGGGTGGCAGCAATGCCCTCTGTCTGTGGGAGTGTGGACAGCTGCCAGCTACACTTGGTGCATGTTCTCTTGGCACCAAGGAGGTGTGGCTTTGGTCCTAGAGAAAGTATTTCTTAAAACTTTATTTCCTTTCTTCCTCTGAGTTCACCAAGTGTGGTTCATTGATTTTTGTCAGTTTTTTATTTGTTTCTTCAGCTCTGCCTTGCTAAAGGGCACAGTGCTGTTTCTCTTGGGATCAGGGTTTCCCATGCTGGCAGCGTGGTCTGCAGGCTTGAGTCCTTTGCAGCAGCACCCCATTCCATTGCCATTTCCTGTTTTGCAAAGATATCCCTTTCCTTCCCTGGGCCCTCTGAGGCGGTATGAGGGGAGGGAAAGCCTTGGTGAGTTTTACACCTGACTTAATTGGCTGAAGTTCTGTGCTTTTTCTTTCAGTTCTGTCTTCCATGTAATTTGTGGAATTATATTTCATGTGATCCACTCATTCTTTTGTGTTCTCTTACACTTTGTCTTTTTCTCCTTTTACTTTCTCTCCTTTTCCTCTCCTGGACCCCTGCATCAACATGCATCCAGCTGTATTTTTCTTGAGAGCCATTAATCATGGACTAAGGTCATTTGAAGGTGCCCTGAGCCCACCCATTCCCAATCAGCAGGACTAAGTCCTATCTCCACCTCTCTTCTGTGGAGGCACCGGAGAACAAATATAATAATAAACTTCATCTCTCCTAGACATTTTCTGACGTTTTCCCACCCCATCGGCTTGTAGCTGGCAAGTAAAAGCCCTTTTGAGAACTAAATCTCTCATTCCTCATCTCCACACCTACCCTTGCTCTCTACCTATAGAAGTCCCAGATCTACACGTGGGATGGCCGCCAGTCAGACCGCTGGGTCAAGCTGGACCTGAAGACAGAGCTACCCCGGGATACTCTGCTTTCTGTTGAAATTGTGCATGAGCTCAAAGGAGAGGTCAGATATGATTCTGCTCATGTGTTGGCCCAGTGGCTTGGGGACTAGAACACCAGAGCCTGGCTCTTTGCCTTGGTTTAATTCAGTTACCTTGTGTGGTGATTGACAGGGACCAAGGCTAGGGAAAGGTTTGGTAATTATTCCTTTGCTGGGAGCAGTTGCCCTAGACCATGAGAGGTTCAGGTAGGAATAGTCCCCGCATGTCAGAGAGACCTGGATCATCATTGTACACCCAGGGCCCTGATGAGCCTTCTGGGTGTTTTGTTTTTAACAGCTAATTTAATTCTTGACCAGAAATCCCTTGGGAAAGAAGAGACCTGTCATTTCCTGGGAGCTTTGAGTAGCACCACCATAGGGATGACATTCAGAACCATTAATGGGAACAGTGGGCAAAGGATGAGAAGCTGGCCCTGGACTATGTTTAGAGTCCTCCCTCCCCCAGCATAGGTGGAAGGCCCAACCATGTCACAGTGGGCAGAGTGGGCAGTGTACTTGTCCTTCTAGGGGAAGGCCCAGCGGAAGATTAGTGCCATCCACATCCTTGATGTCCTTGTGCTGAACGGCAGCGATGTTCGGGAACAGCACTTCAATCAGCGGTCTGACCTGGGCCCCAGGGTAGGGAGGGTGAGGGTGGGCCTGGGAAGCTCTCTGGGCAGCAGCCTCCTGAGGCGTGGCCCCTCACCCTGGCCTCTGCTTATGGACGTCCTGAGAGTTTCCCTCTCCCGCTCACTGGCTGTCCCAAGGGCAGGGTAAGAAATTGGTCTTGGCACTTCAGAGTCTGGGCCTTAGTTGTCATTAATCCTAGTACACTCTTGCCACAGCTGCTCAGATTAGGATGGTGTTTGTGTTAAGGTTGAGCAAGAGGGTGACCTTATGAGAAGAGGGAGGGCCCCCTCTGAAAAACACGTCCAGTGCTTGGGTGGTCCTGTTTAGGCTTGTGTCCTTGGTGTGGGGTAACAGGGTAGACATACAATAAAGATGACACTTGAAGTTCTAGTGGAGATGACTGAGCACAGCTGAAGGCTCACTTGAGGAAAGCCGGCCAGGATGTAGTGAAATTAGAGGTCAGAATCCAGGCGGGGAGGGTAGGAGTGAGGACGGCAGTGGAAAGAGCAGGGTGGGCTTCTGGGGTACACTGATGCTTCCTATTGGCAGTTTGTATAGATTGGTGCTGTGACATCACCCAGGGGCAGGGGTGTTGGCAGGGGTGGTCTGACTTGTCTCTGAGTGACTATTTGGATTGTAGAATTAAGCTTGCTGAGAAATTTGTGAAGGCAGTTTCCAAGCCCAGTCGGCCTGACATGAACCCCATCAGGTAAGCAAGTGCTCCCCCTCCTGTCTAATCCTTCTCGGTTGCTTCTTCTGGTCACTGCCTTCTTCTCCATCCATTGAGGGACAGGAGGGCTCAGTGGAGAGGGCCAGGCCAGGTTGATGCTAGAGATAAAACTACCTTGATGAGTGATTTGTTGGGGAGTGCTGGATAGGTGGCTGTCAGCCCAGAGTGTTCCCTGTCCTGCCCGTCAGTGAGCCAACCTCCACAGGTAGATTCATTCTAGGGGTTAAGGTATCTCACTTAACACACACTTGCTCTGGGAGCGCTAACACACTTCATGAACGCTGGAGGGTCATGAACATTCTTTCAGGTAAGAAATAGATACTAAGACAATGGGAATTTTGAATATGAAGAGGATGGCTTGAGGAAGCAGGCCAGAGTTAGCTGTCAGGGGCAGAGGAGGAAAAGAATAATCAGGGAGAAGACAAAGAAAGACTTCCCCAGGTCTGAGGTTACTACCTGTAGGGCACTGCTGAGCCCTGCTCCACTGGGCTCCATGTCACTAGAGTCTGAGGTATCTATACCAAAACCAGTTTTATTCATATGAATGTGAATTTAGTTATTTAAGTCCAGTTTTAAGAATGCCTTTTGTAGATATCTGTGCTTTGAAGGGTAGCTTCCAGGGTCTCCTTTGCTTGAAATCTGGTGGCTGGGTCTCTGGGTACCTTACACAGTAGCAGTTCGAAGGCAAGTGATTCCTGGCCTCTGGAATGCTGGAAGAGAACTTTGCCCCTCCTATCCTCCAGTGCCATAGCTGCACCCCCAGTTGCCTGGGGCAGACCTGAGGAGTTGCTTGGCAGCTTTGAATCCTAGGGTGTCTGTGTAGGGCAGTGGTGCCCCGGGCGGGGTATCCTCATTCATGGTGAACTGAGTGGTTGCAGGGAGGCCCAAGGCAGAAGGCTAGGGCAGGCACAGCCTGCTGCTTTCTGGATGAGCATGTCCCCAGGAAGCCTCATCCTCTCCCCACCCCTCCCTCCATCTGCAGAGTGAAGGAGGTGTACAGGCTGGAGGACATGGAGAAGATTTTCCTCAGGTGAGTGACTCAACCCAGTGCAGTTTGGGATTTAAGTCAAGTTGAGGATTCCTTTTTTTTTTTTTTTTGTAGAGACAGGTTGTGGGTAGGGTGCAGAGGTAGTGATGCTCCCACCCCCTCCTCAGGGCCTCTGTGTGGCTCTGCTGTAGCCTGTAAACCCCCCAGCTGACTCAGCACCCTGTCAGGAGGGGAGCAGGGCGGACATGTGTCAGGCAGAAATATGGGCTCATTGATGCTGTAATAGTTACGATTGTTCCTGCGAGGGGCAGAGCAGCAAGCTACTGGGAACACTATAAATCCCAGCTCCTAGTGCTGAGAGAGACTGAGCCTGGAGGGGACCAAGGGGGCATAAACGCTTCCTCATATTCTTCATGGTGTGTGGGGTGCATGGCACTTGCAGATCTGATTCTCAGTATGGGAGTGAGGCTGGCTGTCAATGCTCTCTGGGAGGCGGTTACTGTTAACTCTCTAGTGGCCACAGTGATGACATGGGTGGAGGGCTGAAGACTCCGGCACCCACAGACTCAGATCTCAGTCTTATTGCTATCACCATGGAGGTACCCACCCCTCAGTAGTGGTGGCCTGGCAGTGTTTCTGTTGCTTGAGATCTAAACCTAGCACTACCAATATCACTGTGTGCTTGGAGCAGTTCTCTTAAGGTGCCGTGCCTCAGTTTCTTTTTAGGTGGAAGCAGCATAGAATGCAATGAATGACTGATGTTAGCCAGAGACTAACAGTATGGCTTTCTGTCTCACACACTCACATCTGTTTGTACACTTCTTTGGAATCAGGTTAGAAATGAAGATCATCAAGGGATCCAGTGGCACTCCAAAGCTCAGCTACACAGGGCGAGATGACAGGCACTTTGTGCCCACAGGCCTGTACATCGTCAGGACTGTGAATGGTGGGTGATGGCTCCCTGCCTCCACGCCACCTCCTTTCCACACACTGTCTGAGCTGGAGCTAGCTGACAGTGGGGTCGGGGAGCTAGGCTAGTGCTTCCCTGAAGTGTATGTTAGAGGGCTGTGTGTCCACAGCCTTTTCTGTTCTTCAGTGGGCCTGGGGGGTGGGTTGGGCGTGGAAAGAGGGCTAGCTTGTAATGCACACATGGCAAGTTTGGGCTCTGTGCACTTGTGCCCTGTAGGGTGATGGTGGGTTGACAGGACACGTGTATGTTTGTTGAGAAATAATCAGTAATCCTCCTGGAGCCCTCTAGGCTGCTGGTGGAGGTGGCATACTCAAGTTGTTCCCTGCCTGTTCTTGGAGGAAGGGAGGTGGGAAGGACAAACAAGAGGGAAGGAAGACACACCCCTGCAATGCCAGACCCACCCCTGTGGGTACTGTGTCCTTTCTGAGCTCCTTCCCCTCTTTTTCCTGTAGAGCCGTGGACTATGGCATGCAGCAAAAACTTCAAGAGGAAATTCTTCTACAACAAGAAAACCAGGAACTCCACCTATGATCTTCCTGCAGATGCCATCGCCCCATTTCAGTGAGTAACCCCCTTCTGAGCTGCCTTCCCTAGCAGCTCCAAGTCCTCCTGCCAGGCGCCAGCCCTCCCAGGGCACACCCTGAGGCCTGAGACTGATCACTGCCACACAAGGGCTTCTATGAGCCTGGGCCAGGTTCTTTCCCTGGGAACACCCAAGTGTGACCGAGCCGGGTGGTGAGCTCAGTGAGCAGCAGTACTGGACCTGCCATGATGATGGGGTCCAAGGTCCAAGGTCCTAGCTGTCCCTTATTAGGACCCAGCATCCATCTGCCAGATTGCTGGTCATAGGTTTTGACAGCAGCCCTGTTGCCTAAAACTAGCCACTAACACTTGTTTCTGTCTCCTCACTAACAATGTTCCATTAGAGAAGCACAGACAGACAATCCAGGAATATCAGTAGTTACAGTTCAGTTGGATGCAGTAAGCAGCAGCTGTCTGTTGGAAGAGTTGGTTCTGGGCAGCACAGAAGGAGCTGGTGCCTACTGGGTACCTTTAGTTTACCAGAGAGAAGACCCTCAACTGAGAGGGTCAATGTCACTGTTGCCAGGGGTGGGCTGGTGGGCTCTTGGTCCTGGGCTGCCCAGGTATAGCTCTGTAACCTCTCCCCTCTCCTCCTTGCAGCATCTGCTACTATGGCCGACTCTTCTGGGAGTGGGGGGATGGCATCCGTGTGCATGACTCCCAGAAGCCCCAGGACCCAGACAAGCTGTCCAAGGAGGACGTCCTTTCCTTCATCCAGATGCATAGCGCCTGAGGGCCTTGGGGTGTTCCACCCCTGCTGAATGCCCTGTCATTCCCCACAACGGGGCACTCTGCACCCTGCTGAATGCCCTGTCATTCCCCACAACGGGGCACTCTGCACTTGGGGCTCCCAGCACTGGTTCCTTCTGCCTCTTGAAAGGGGACTGGGGGGAGCTAAGCCTGGCCTTGGGAGCAAATGGCCGCCTCTCTCTGAGGAGCTCAGTCAGGGCCTTCAGAGGACACATGTTCCTTCTGGAACACCATCTGCCTGGGAATTGTTTCCCCTACCAGGACTCAGCCTGAAGGAAGCTGCTCCTGAGGCAGGTTTGTGGTCAGTGCCCAGGGCACGTGGGCTGGTGGAGGACGTGTTAGAGAGTAGCAGGCTTTGGGTTCTGCCGTTCTCTCCAGAGTCCTGTAGACTCATTTTTCTGAGTTCCATGCACTGCCTCTGAGGGTGGCCAGGCCCCTGCTTTGCCCAACTTTTATTAGGCCAATCCTGGGTGGGTGATGGCCCACTGTCACGAGCTGGCCAGGAGCAGCTGTTGTACAAATCAAAGTTTTGTTTCTTTGAACTTGCTCTGTTTTGATGCCAAGTTGGAAGACTTTTTCATCTCTTCCCCACACCCATCCTGGCATTCTTCCCAGCCCAGACCTCTGATAGTCCCGGCAGGCCGGGAAGGAAGAGAGTGGGTCCGACGTCACTGACACCATATTGAGATGCAGGCTGTGCTGTCTTTGGGACTGGTGTGACTGCCTCCTGGGGTTAAGAGAGGCTTCCTGGGCCACCCGTTTTGATCCAAATGTTGGGCAACTCAGAGGGCTGGAAGTAGCCTTGAAAACCTGCCTTTGCCTCTCCCCCAGTAGCAGTGGCCCCACCAGTATAAGGTACCTCTAGGGTCAGTACAGCACCAGCCCTGTGGCAGTCGCACACTGCCTGTGCCCTAGCCACCCTAGGGTCTTGGCAGAGTTTTGAGCTGGAGGTAGCCATCCTTTCCTTTGTTTTTCCTCTCCATCTGGAGGTACAGTCTGCTTTTGTCTGTCTGTGGTCACTCCATTTCCTCTATCTTGGCAGAGGGAGGAGGGGAAGCTGGGCAGCAGCTTTGGGTGGGGGAGGGCATCTGTGGTTGTTTTTTAATGGGAAATACCTCTCAGAGATGTTCATGCAGGCTCCCTAGGGCCCCATCCCAGTGCCAGGCTGGTTTCCATGGAGATAGGGCACTGAGGCTCCCGGCAGGTTGGAATTGACTCCACCATGGGGGTCCTTCAGCCAGCATCCAGCCTCCCACCCCCTAAGCTGGCGGCAACACCGCTGAGATGCTGTATTTCCACCCAATTCTGGGTATATCAGTGTGTCTTGCAGAATCTTGGATCATTAAAGATAAACATATTTTTAATGCCTGTGTGGCTCTGTGCTGGGGCTGTTGCTATTTGTCCTCAGTGCTTTGTGCTCTGGGACTGGCTTGGATGAGGCAGCCTGGGCCAGAGGTGAAGGGAGAGGAAGCTCTACTCAAAGAAGAGAGGAGAAAAGAAGGTTTGTTTATTCTGAGCCTGTCCAAGCTCCTGGGCCCCTCAGGGCGTGCAGGACTGCTGCTAGAGAAGGGAGCCCAGGAACCCAGGGAAATCACGCAGCTGCTGATAGAAGCAGGGACGGGGGACTGAATGAACCCACAGCCCAAAGAGGGCAGCAAGGCACCTTCCCCCTCTTACATAAATCACATAGCTCACTCTGGTGGCACTGTGACAATCCAGGATCAGTCTGTGACTAAAATAACAGAGGCGTCAGACCAATTAGTGTCACTAGACCAAGGATTGAGAGGGAGAGAGAAATGGACTTGCTGACCCTGGCCAGCCTTCCTCCCCAGGTGGCCAGGCTCCCCCGCCCCCCCAGTGGGGGCTGCACTCCTGCTTTAGGGTAGAGGGTATGCAGAAACTGATGGCATCCCACTCCTTTGTCACACGGATACTGGATCCCCCTAATGCCTACTTTCCTGGGCTCCTTTACCCTAATCTGGGGGTCCCACTGTGACACAGGGAGTTCACCTTAGTGCTCCCAGCCTGTCTCCCTCTGCTGGCTGCAGCACCCACATTCTTTCTTCCTGGCCTCACTGTGGGAGTGGAGTTAGGGGTTTGGCCAACCCCCACCACCTCTTACTGCCACTGTCACCATGAATCTTGTCTTTATCATGGCTCTTGCTGCCCACTTGCTCTCTGGGCCTCCCAGTCCTGCCTGCCTCCTGAGGATGGATTGACTCCACATTCCTCCGGGACCTCCCACCACTTCAAGTCCAAATCACCCTTCACTGCACAGGCTGCATTTTTCGAGGTACTGGCACTGGCTGGAGGGCAGGTAATGTTTGATAGTGGGCAGCAGGTGGCACAATGTCTGCCCACCTTCCCAACTACCCCTTTACCTCTCCCTTCTGAATTCTACACCATGAACTTTTGAATGTGTCTCCTTCCTTGATTCCTGAGTGACTCTCCTGCTGCCCCTCAGCTACAGTCAGACCATGACATTTACTCAGCAGACAAGAGCAGCCTGATGTTCTTTATTGCCTCTCCCTTGACTCAGGGGGGCAGGGGTGGGGGGGCAGCAGGCGGGGGTGGGGGGAGGACACGTCAGGAGGCCTTACTCCAAGGCCTAGGTGGGGGAAGCACCCCGACACTGTAGTCCTCTTGAGACTTGAAGGGCTGCTTGGTCCCAATTAAGGAGCCGAGGAGGAGCCTGCAGTGGCTGCGGGGCATTGCAGACTCACATGGTCCAGTGTGCATAGACCAGGGCCAGGAGAATGAAGATGGCCACCGAGAGCAGCATGTTCTTCCGGTTCTCTTGCCGAAGCAGTTTTAGTTCCTTCTCTGGGAGATAAAGGGGTAGTTGGTATGGGACAGGGAATGGAGGCCATAAGTGTTCTTTCTCCCTTTCCAAAATGGATACACACACCACTGAAGTTGTGTCCCTCCTGTCTCTTACACTTAAACATGACCTGTCCTTGATCTGCCCAGATCTTCATAACATTTTAGGTACAGATTTTGGCCTAAAAGTCCTAATACCAAGGCTCCTCAACCAGGTTGAGGATGGGATGTGAGGGGTCACCTAAGAAGCCACACCTGAGAGCCAAGCTAAGATACAGTGTAACATCAGGTGAGTCTTCACCTGTCAGTGGGCTCTACAGTGCTCATCCTTCCAGGAGTCTCATCCAGCCAACTGGAAACTCAGTGGAGTCTGGACAGTATCTTGAGCCAGATACTGGGGTGGCCAGGCAGGGCCACATGTTTCTTGAGATCCTGCCTTTTGCTGGGGGCCCAGCTCAGCAGAATCTAGGGTTGCTGACAGGAGGCAGCCATCCTCCATTCTAGAGGAAGCCAGTCCTGCTGTTCTGTAGCCACACCCGTGGCTACACCCATATGGGTCCCTCCAAGTGACATGCAGGTGGTTGGTACACCATGAAGGCTAAACTGAGTGGCGATGCTGTGGTGAGTCTGTGAAAACTGCTAAGCTGGAGGGGAACTGAGGCCCTACCCATCATGTGCAAGGGAGGGAGGGACTCACAGGCGGCTCTGGGTGGGCTAGACTGAGCCCAGGGTACCCCAGCCCAACTGTGTTGGGTCGGGTCAGATTGTTCTTTCTGTATTGGCCAGGTCTGGTCCCCCAGGGGAGAACCAAGAAGGGACAAACTGAAGAACCTGCTACAGATCATTTTCCTCCAACTCTCAGGAAGCTGAGGCTATCAGCCAGCCACACTCCAGCTGCTTGCCCCGCCTGTACTCTACCTGGCCCTGCCCCCAGTGCCCAGAAGGTGGCAGTATTGCTCTACCCACAGGAGCCCTTCCTGCACTCAAGTTTGTGTGTGTGTGTGTGTGGGGGGGGTATCTGTCAGCCCTACTCCAAATGCAGGAAGTTCCTGGCCAGGAGGGGAGTTGTGGTGGCAGTAGGAGGGGGGGAGGGGACCTGGCTACAGCCATACCCCTTCATCCCAGAGGGAAGACAGAGCCCTGGGTCATCCTTCTTCCCTTGGAACAAAGAATAGACCAGCTCTCCTCCCACACGGCAGGTTCCTTCAGCCTCCTGGGGCTGGCTCCTTCTTAAAGGACCACCTTGTTAGGTTCCCTGGGCTGCCTGGCCCCTCCAAACTCTGGGTCCTGGAGGTCAAGGTGGGCATCTGAAGGGAACTCTCTTACCGTAGTTGGAGGCTCTGCTCATTAGGCTGTTTTTCTCCTTCTCCAGAGACCTCCTGTGGGGAAGGAATTTCATGGCTCAAGCCCTTTTCCTCTAGCCACCTGGGGGCAGCCAGCAAACAGGACAGTGTGAACAAAGGGGACCAGTGCCCAGGTCTCAGGAGTTGACCTAAGGACCCAAACCCTCTGCCTTAAGCTTAGTTCACTTTGGGGACTCAGGACAGACACAAGGGCAGGGAGGGGAGGGGGTGGCTGGTCAGGAGCGTTACCTGTCCTCTGGGCTCAGCTCTGCCCTGTGGAGCCTGCAGTCGACAGCCTCCAGGTCTCTCCGACACTGGGACAACTTTTCCTCCAGCCCATCAATCTGAAACATAAGGCAGATGGAGACTGGTTGCAGAGCTCTGCAGCTAAAATGCCCTGGGATCAGGCAAGTCTCAAATCCACCCTGTCCCAGGCCATGTTCACTTCCACTGGGCAGGGCACCAGGCACCGGTGCCCCAGAGTGTCTTTGCTGTCCTCCACCACTGCATGCTTCAGCTCTGGGCTCCAGCCCGAGTCCCCCTGAAAACAGGGCAGTGGGTGCTGCGAGGGTCTCAAAGCTGTCCTCACCCACTGGACTAAGCACAGGTTGTGGGGAGAGAGGAGCAGCCCGTAGGTCAGCTCTATCTCCCCATCTAAGGGCCAGAGAGCAGGAGCCAGAGCCCGGCAAGGGCAGGCCTGCAACACAAGGCTCGAGGCTCCAGGTGCTCCTCGGGCAGGTGGTTCAGCACCCAGGGCCAAAACACAGAGGTTTTCCTCATCGACAGGCTTGTCTTCATATCTTAGTCCAAGCTGTAAGAACAGACATTTCCTACAGGAATCAATAAAAATTAGCAGGAGAAAAAAAAAAGTTACTCAAAACCACTTCTATTTCTGACTTGGTTCTCGTGTAAAAACATTGCCCATCATCAAGGTAGCTGTAACTTGTGTGGCAAAACACCTAAGCAACTGAAAGGCCAGTTGCCAAAGATATCCTTTTCCATTTGTTTTTCCACCATGCGGCCAGCGCAATGGTTTCATTAATGAGGTTCTTGGCATAAAAGTTAGCTAGAAGAGATTGAAATAAAACACACAGACTCAGTTACCTTATTTCTATTGCCAGGTCTGAGACGGCTCCCCTCTCTGGTTCCCTCCTCTAGCCGCCCAGCAGGGCAGCAAGGATTACTCAGGGCTAGCAGGAGAGAGAATGAACACGCCTGGGAGTAGCTTTTTATTGGGGAACAAGAGATTCAGGGGAGAATTCCATCCAATGAAGGTTGAGGGGGGACTGCACTCCAAGGTCAGGGTCAGTGATTGGGCCCCCGGGGTCAGTGGTCAGGCACACCCCCACATGGATGGGCTCTCTCATCAGGAAAGGGCCGGGAAAGTTCTGACACAGCCAGAACGCCTCAGACCCTTAGGAGCCACCCAATCACGTGTCAGAATGGCTTCCCACATGTTTTGATCATGGTTCCAGAGGTGTGTTCTTGGGAAAATATTTGAGTTGTGGGAAAAATGTTCCGTGAACTACCAGCAGGTTGTGCAAGCCTGGGCTCAGGATCATGCACTGACAGCGAGCCCCTGCCCCCATCCATCTCTTGACTCCAGTCTTTTGCTAGGTCTCATCGCCTGCCTTTCTAGGCCTGGGCCTGCTCTGCTTCCACGCCAGCCCTGCTAGTGAGAGCCTAGATTTTGGTGGCTTGGTTTCTGGGGCTGTGTCCTGCAGAGCAGCTGGCTGCACAGTGCTTAGAGTCCCACCGTACTCCATTTCCCATCTCTGACTTTGCTCATTCTCACCACATCCCCAGGAGGGACAGCAAGCACGACCTCTATTTCACAAATGGGAGAACCTGGCTCCCCAAAGGAAATGACTTTTCTGAGGAGTCGGAGTGGGGCCCCCCTTCTTATCAGTCTCAGCCAGCTCTGTGCACCATTCCTTTTTGGAGTTGCCTCCTGCAAGAAAGAATCCTGCCTCCCAGGTAGCTTGTCAGGGCCCTTGAGTCTCAGGCAGGCATTCCGGGATTGGGTGTCAGGACATCTGAGTTGAAATCTGTGGACCTCTGTGCCCTCCCTGGCCAGCACCCTTCTCAGACACTTTCCCTGTCTTGAGGCCTGGTCCAAATGATGCACCACCCACTACCTTTCCTGTAGCCCCCAGCACTGCCAACTTCAGCCCAGTTAAGCAGGGCCCTGTGGGAGGGAG